GCTAGACTACACAAATATTCATATTTGTACTTCATAACTTTTATGACCCTTTCTGCACTCAACATGATAATAGATGTTTTTTAGCTGGCCACAGAGACTGGTCATACTGTAGATCGTATATGGCTTTATTTTTTTATTCAGTTGTGGGATATTCACCTGTCATTCTTCACAGACCTATAACCTTCTATGGATGTAATGTGCTGCTTGTGTAAAGAAAAATATTAAACACACCAAGACTTTGACTGGCTCATGGCAGTCATATTTTTAAAACAGCAACGTATTTGAAACATTCTGGAGAAAACATCTGTTCTTATCTTTGTATACCAAATTCAGTACCTAGCAAGGAAGGAAAAAAAAGAGAAAATGTTGTTTGAATGTTTTTGACTAATCCAATATCCCAGCCAAATTATACAACCAATCCAACTTTCTTGAATAAGTATGAATTGAAGATTTGAGGTAACACTGTGGACCAAACATATACCAATCTAAACTACCACCAGTTTAGATGAAGATCTTTGAAAATTATGAGACATTCCTGAAAACCCACAAAATAGAGCCATACCACGTGACCAGACCAATGGGTAGACCCACGTGTGAGCTCATAGTTATAATATAATATAATGCACTGTAGGCAAAAAAATAACAACTTTGAAATTGGCTAATGGCTACTGTTTTTAAGATAGGAACTTGCCACGGTTCTTGACCTACTTTATACCGTAAGTACCATTATTTGCTTTGTTTGGCTTAATTAGTTTAGAAATGACACTGTTCAAGTTTTTTTTTTCAAAGATGTCAGACAAACCAGGTGATCAATCACCTTGCCATAAACAAATTTTACCATGAACATTAAATAACACAATCATGTTTCAGACCTCGCTGATGTTTGGTTTCAGAGCCTAACAATTTTCAAAATCCCTTAATATTTTTTTTTCAAATATTCAATATGGTAGCCAATCCATGTGATCTTCCAGAGCAACTTTTCACTGTGACACAGTCTCCCGGAAGCTTTTACAATCCTGATCATTTTCATACCTTTAACCTTGAGTGGGAAAATATTATGCTTACAGAAATGTAAGTGATATCATTGCTTGTGAAAAACTCCTGCAATAACATCAAATCAGAACAAACTAAGCTATAACCTTCAAGCTATTTCTCTTTGTTTACATGTTGAAAAAATTGACCTGACCTATTTATGTTTACAGTTAATCCCCTGTTCTTTCTGTGTAAATATTTCAGCACACATAAGTACAATTATAGCAATAGGACACCATGTCCAGAGTCCTCCAATGTTATGTAAGCTCATGTGTGTGCATTATGGGTGGACAAATTAACTAAACAAACACAAAGACCCAATAAACATTTCATGGCTATCCCTGCAAGTTCCACTTAAGTAAAGAAACAGAAGATTCCCGTTTCAAAAAAGAAACACAGATTCCTGTACAATAAAGCTCTTCAAGTACTAACTAGTTATTGCACTCAACAAACAAAAGGAGCTGTGTGTCTGATATACAGTACATCTGTTATACAGTCACTCAAATAATTTAGTTACCCTTTGGAACTGATACTCTTCAACTGTTCATAAAGATTAATCAACTGCTGTGAAGTAAACTACTTTACAAATAGACTACAACTGTAAAACACATTAAAACATCAAAATAATTAGTATTCTAATTCTTTATGCCTTCTTTGTATGATAGTTCAATAAAGATTTTAAGACCTTCTTTATTGACAATATTCTTGGGTTACTTCCCGGTTAAAAGTTTTTTCAAGGCTATTTCACTTCTTTACAAAACTGTCAGGTATCAAATAACTAAGAGTACTACTGCTGTTATCTTGTGCTTCACTAGGCTTTCACAGGGCTAGAATTTCTAAAGTTTCCCTGGATATCTGACACTCTCTCACACACAAACTGCCGTCACAAGGCCACAGCAGCATATCCCAGCACGCTTTGCAATTAAAAGGCCAGAACTTTAAAGCTCAATTTAGTCACTTTGTGTTTGAAGTGCTGACCTGTTTTAAGCCACACACAGTAGGCTTTACCTGAACTACTTTTTTTCAGTTGCGCATTTGTTGCTATAATCAAAGCAACAACACCCACACTAAAATCTACCATACATGTCTAGAAAACTAGTAAAGTGAAATAATTTAATTAAGTAAACTGTTGAGGTTCAAAACATTCAATACACAGCAATGGCTAACTGTGTCTAAGACGTCTGCACAGCTGTGCATAGAACACAGCACCGTAAAATGCAACAGTGCTACATAAGACGAATTGGATTAGGATTTTTCTAATCTCTTACAATTTAGTTTCATATTGTGGCGTTTTTAGTTGGTCTTGCTTTGCTTAAACCATTATTTGCCATGGAGAACTACTTCAGGGCTACTTCACTTATGAGTAGATACTTCCCTGTGTCGCTGTGATTTCTTCTGCAGTTTTACAAGAGACATTTAGTGGCTTTTATTTCGTTATATTTAGCAGGAACAGTTAATTGTCGGTGGATTCACGATGGCTTATGGAGATGCAGCTATAAAGAACAGACGAACTAGGAAATGAGAAACGAAAACCACAAGTACACTAAACGGGTTGTAAGTGAGAAGAATGATGTATCAGATGACCGACTTGAATATTCTAAGGTGTTCACCCCATATCCTGTGTACAAACAACTCCCAACTCTAAGAGAAAGGAAATAGAGACAGTGAGTCATAAATATGAAGCCAACTCTTACTCATATTCAAGGGTACCAACACTTTATCTATAAAAGCCGGACGCACTTCATCCACCACTGAACTGCCTGGGTGACACACTGCGTAACTGATCAGTGACAAAAGTTACAAATTTCACACTAGTTAAATAAGGGGGAACATTTGGGAGATCAGCTTGTGGAGTGGAGTCTAGCCAGGATACCAGGGTTAACAGCACTATGCTTTCCATTCCTAAATGCCACTAAATCTCTAATGGCCAAGTAGTCAGGTCCTCAGTTAAGCGTCTCTTCCACCACCTGCTGTAGGTTGCCACTATATACAGATCAGTGTGCTCTCTCACTATTCTGGGATGCTGGTTCCAAGTGGCTCAAGGGTAGGGTGGGATTAATCGGTCACGGCTCTCTCAGCCACTCAGCAGGCAGAGTGTTGTCACTGTACAGCCCTGTCGTTGAGGGACGTGGCTATCCACCAATCGCCACCAAACCTCCAGGGCGCGGTTGTGTGAACCATCGCACGTTAAAACACAAAAGACTCAAAGCTGGGCACTACCTTGTTCTCCCCTGCACAAAGTCGCAGAATCTGCAGTCGAGACTTGAAAAGACATACAATTTATCAGGTGGGTATAACAACATGCTTCAACAAATAGATTGTGCAAATCTACACTAGAAATTAGGCCCAAATACCAGGATTAACATCCTTACTGTTCTGAACGCACTGAATATTCAGGACCTTTCTTAATAGCTCATCCAGAAAGTGGTGCCTCTATCAGCACAGTGTACAGTTGCTATGATCCTTTAGTTTGGACATTTTAGTCCAGATAAAAGAGTGACATTTCCTGGTCCACCAAGACCACTAACAACAGTACCTGGCTTTCCTTGAAAGTCTCCCACTCCAGTACTGACCAGACACAACCTCACTTACCTTCTGAGAGCTGATGAGATCAGGCTAGAAGGTGATAAAGGTACACGTTGAAATCTGGTTTAATAATCTACAAACTAATATTTTTAAATGCAAGTAATAATCAGAAAACGAAAGCTTCTTAATGAGTGTAATGTTAAATAACAGCAATAGAGCGCTGGTTTCCAAACAGACCATGAGAAAATAAAATCTCAGTATCCTTGGTTAAAAATGATCCAGAAGGTTACCCAACTGCAGCCTCAACACAATATCTGTTTTCGCGACTATTATGTTGCAATCTTTATGTGACCCTGTGGTCCTGCTGCAGCTTAGGAAATTCAACATCTGTTTCAAGCTTGACTGCAGCCAGAAAAAAGGGACTACCAAAAACCTAACTTAACATAAAGAAGAGTTTTGTGTTTAGTGTCTGGTTAACCAAAGTATGTCTCCTTAAAAAAGTGTATGTCCTTGCTCCGGCTATTATACAGGCCTAGTACAAGCCCTAGAGTTTCAATAAGCATTTATGCTTAATGTTATTATATTATATAATTCAAAATACTGTATAGTCAAATTGTAATTGCTTAATGTTTATTTTAACGTTATTTACTGTATGCATTCTATGCCCATACATCTGTACAGCACTGAATTTTTTTTAAAGCAATTGTAAATTAAGTGTATTATTTTGTTATAATGGTGAATCTTATAAGATTAAACAAATGCACACTTTTCTTTGGAAATAACTGCAAACTTTTCAGTCAAGTAATCATTTCAAGGAACACTTGAGGCTTTTAAAAAGTGTAAAGCATGCATAACTGCACTGTCTTTTCAAAACATTAAATATGCTTAAAACTGCGAGAGGACTTCCTCTTTTCAACCATTTCTCATTGCCTAGCCCACAGACCGGAAGGCAGAGGAGCAGGTAACTTCCTCACTGAGTGTATTGTCATGACATACAGTACTTAAAGAGTGATCTTTCAGTCAGAAGAAACAGTTATGTTTGGTAGACCTTCACACAAAAAAGCATTAGACAAATTAGTTACTCTTTCTAGAAAACCCTTGGTATAATTTAAAAAAAAACAATGACTTCAATCAGCTAAGAGGCCAGAAATATTCTGCTTACCATAACCTACATTCATATTCCAGAAATCCAGTACTTGTGTTAGTCTCAAACAAAGGCTGCCTCACACTTGTACACAAATGTGCTTTTAATCACTTCCTGTGTCTCGAGGAAAACCAGAGAGAAGCAGTATTGTAGTACTGTAGACTGTACATAATTTAGTAGACTCCTACGTCAAAAAGTCCCACTTTGTATAAGATAAATTATTTCACAAAATGTATACTTGAAAAAAAAAAAGCTCTTGCGAGTTCTGTTTTTCTTGGAAATGAAGGTGAATGAATACCTCTCCTTCAGGTTGAGCAGGCTGTTTCCTGTGGCTCAGATAAGGTCAGCTGGATTAGTCCAGGTAACCCTTAACACCAGGGAATGCTCAATGACCTGTTTTGTGAAAAACATTACAATTACTATTCACAGGCCATTTCATGGTATTGGAATATTGGATTATTTGCACCGTTGTTGTTTTTTTTCTCTCTTATCATTCCTGTTACCCTCCAAACAAGTCTCTGAAGTCGTGTACACTGTTACAATGTGCTCTAACGGTGCACTGCATTAACACAACTTCAACGTTTCTCAAGATAGAGAAGTGCATCGTCCGTAAACAGCAGCTTAGCGATGGGTTCAGTGTCCATTCTCCAGTTTGAACCAGTGCAAAGCCATAGCAACCCAAACAAATGCTATTTCTTTTTAGAAAATGTTTTGATATGACATACTTTTCTTGCTGTCAGAAATTTATATATTTTCATTCAATATTATAAACCTTTCTAATTAATTTAAATATAATCTCCATTGTTGCTTTTCCGACAAACTGAAAAACAGAGACCAAAACATTTCTCCTGGCCACGTCACGTGTATTGCTGCAGCTAGATCAGAGAGTACCCCCCAAAACGATTTACAGTATGATATTACCATTCTCAGCTGCCCTCCAACACACACAGCACTGTACCTTCTGTGTTTGAGACCGCGTTAAATCACCTGCACCCGGAAACGCGAAAATAACTTTTGTTTTTATTCTTGTACAAAATCACAGGGTTCTCCTTGTTTGTAGAGTGTACTCTCTCCGGTCAGGTCTACAGTATGTCTAATGGAAGCTGTCAACAGTACTGCCTTACATCTGTGCTACTTCTTCCATTCCGAAAGGCAACCAACGGTCTGCATTTCTCAGTGCGTCTGGAGCATTACAGCTATCCGCGATGAGCTGGCACTGGCAGCAGACTTGCAGGCTAGCTGCTAGATGCCAAATCTCCCTGTGGTGGAACGCACGAATCAAAGCCACACCGCTTTTAATTAGTTTGATCTCCCATCTTTAAAGATTAAAAATGAGACACTGTTTAAAACAAATTACGATGCATATCTTATTTTTAGTTACTTATACTGTACAAACCCAATAGGCTACGAAACCAAATCAAACAGTTTTTCAGCACAGCCTCTACTCAGCCTGATCTAAAGTCGTCGCAGAAGAATCTTAGACATACAGTAGGTGCCGAGAAGCAACAACAGTACCGCTGTGTTAAATGCCTTACCTCGGTGAGGACACTCTGTATCGAGAAGGGATGTGTGATGCGATGTATTATATTCCTTATCGTGTAATGGGCTGAGTCGTCCTTCCATTAACCGCTTAGAGATTCACCACGTTCAGCGAAAATAAAATAAACACGGCATCGTAGTGCGCCCCGAATATGGACTGTTGATCTTTTAATGATTTGCACTTTCCAGCACTGCCTCCCTGACTGTGCAAGCGAGGAGCTAAATGACTCTCAGCCATGTGACCCGGCGAGCAACTCACTCACGTGATTACAAAGAAACTCCGGCTCCTTTCTGCACTGAGCCCAGTAATAGGAACCTGTCTTTTCACTATGGCAACATATTAGCGTCATCAAAATAAAATCATTATTACGAGACAATGTTGCTTTTACATCGTAAAACACATTTAATTGTATCCAGAATTATAAGAAAACGTATATTTATAAATGCAAATGTATTAGATTTAATTATTTCTATTTTTGAAGATGGAAGGTCCGTACCTCCGGTATCCTGTCTCATATATGCGACCACTGTACACTGTCAAACATGTTTGATTTATTATATCAACCAACTCCCTAAAGAAATATTTTCTCTTCTCGGGAATATTTTTTTTTCCTTTATGTACATCAGTCATCTGTTTTCTTTATCACTGATTTAGAAAACCGAGGGTTTCAGCTCACATTTAGATTTGTCTGACAAGTCTTGACATTTGACTCATGCGCTAGTATTTCACTGCTTAATTTCAAGAATCTGGTTGGTTTATTTTCATGTTCTGAGCGCTTGTGCATATTTCTGTCAGTCTATATAAGAAGTTACTAAGCATTTCTTGAAGCATTTTAATAGTGATGACAGACGTGGATGACCGAGTAATGATTAAGAGAAACAGATTTCATATATTAAATTATTTGACTTTTTTTTATGTGATCAGGGGAAACGTGACTATTTAATCATAATAATTCCTTACACTTAGCGCTTTTCTGGACACTCCACTCAAAGCGCTGTACAGGTAATAGGGATTCCCCCCCACTACCAATGTCCAGTATCCACCTCGATAATGCGGCAGCAGCCATAGTGCGCCAGTACACTCACCATACATCAGCTATTAGTGGGGAGGAAACAGAGTGATGGAGCCAATGACGTGGCTATGACTGGTAAAGACCAAAGAGAAATTTAGACAGGACACCAGGGTAAACACCCCTACTCTTTTCAAGAAACGCCCTGGGATTTTTAATGACCACAGAAATTCAGGAACTCGGTTTTTTTTTACAGTATAGTATCTCCGTCACTATACTGGGGCATTAGACCCACACAGACCACAGGGTGAGCATCTCCTACTGGCCCATCGAATACCTCTACCAGCAGCAACCTTAGTTTTTCCCAGGAGGTCTCCCATCCAGGTACTGGCCAGGCTCAGTGGGCTGCCATTTGTGAGGTGCAGAGTGATATGGCTGCTGGCAAAACATGTCCTTACTGTTTGTAAAGATGTAGTCTAGGACAAGGGTTCTTAATTGTGGTTCTAATGGAACCCCTACAGACTTCCGCACAAACTAATTGATCTCAATTTCCTATTTGAGTCATACAGTATTTTGCAATTTGCTTTCAATTCTTAAAAGGTTTGAGAGAATTTGTATTTGGTCTCAACCCTGTATTAATTAGTGAGTTTCAAAACTGTCTTTATTCAAGTTTGTTAAATGTAACATGACTAGGTGGACACAAAAGGAAAAACACTCACTCTCTGTGTGTGAGATACAGTATCATTCCCACTTGTGTCTGTTCACAAACTTTGTGAATTTCAGTCAGATGTAAGGGGGCAAGTTCTTTATCACATCGTGGAGAGACTGCATAAAGTTCTGTATGCTGCAGATGCTGGAAACAATACACTTTAGTTACTTGTTGTTGTTTTTTTTAATCAAGGCTTTTTTGCTAAAAAAAAGTCTAAACAATCAAATCAGTTTGACTGACATGGTTGGCACCAGTTAGAACTGGTATTTAAGGGCTCAGTTTGGACACAACCCAGTAGACACAGCAGTTCCTCAGGATCAGTGTTGGAAACTGCTGATCTAGAACAAGTGTTCATACTCCTGGTCTTGAAGGCCCACACACCCACTGGGTTTCGACAGCCAAGCTCTCAAGCCAAGAAAATTGAACCTTTCCTCGAATTCATAATAGGATTAATTCAAACTGTTTCACTGTTTTCGGACGATTAAACATGTTGCAAGTTGCCTTTTAACTATTGTATTTCCTAAGCAAAACAGAATCTCAAACTTACTAGTAGAAAAATGGTAAATATTTTAAACAAGCAACTTGTTACATCACTTTAGGCTATATTTGGGTTATTCAGCTCAGGTGGAATGAAAACTAGCAGGTGTGCTGTCCTCCAGAACCAGAGTTAGGAACTTGTCCTTTAATTTTCTAACTGCTTTATCCAATAGAGGGTTGTGGGGAGCATATCCCAGCAAGCAATAGACTCAAGGCAGAAATCATATTGGAGAGGATGCTACTCCATCACAGGCCAGACACACACAAAGATGCATACACTGACACTCTTACCAGAACCAATTTTCCCAGAAACCAATTCACCTACATTACAGTACTAGTACAGTATGTCCTTGGACTAGAGGAAACCCACATGACTACAGGAAGAACATACAAACTACACACATATAGCACACAAGGTCCAGAACTAAGCCCAGTGCTGTTAGGGCTTTAAAAACTATTGTAATAATATAAAAATAAATGTAAAAAATTTCCTCTGTGCAGTCAATTTCCAAACCACAGTATGAATGCCACTGTAAGGTACTCGGATAATATTTAAGAAACATGTTTTCTTGTTCATATTGGTCAGTATTTTGGAGGATTTCTTAATATAATTCCAAAACAGCAGCACTTTACAATATCAAGGTTTTACTGAATGTAAAGTTATTGCTTTATTTTGTAAATACATATGTCACTTTACAAGAACATATTAGAAGCAATCAACAAAAGACACTCCAGATTATGTATCTATATTGGTGCTCCTTGTTGTGCTGACTGAAATTTCTATTGTATTTAATAGATTATTTATATTTACTAATTTACTGTTGTGCTAAGCTAGAAACTAGATCTGAAATTATTGTGAATGCCCACTTCCTTTTCCCTTCATTTATGATCTGTATTCCATTATTACAGCACATCAAAACACCTTCCTAACTTACAGTCTGGGCAACTTTTCTTGCTACTCATCTTTAGCACTGCACACTTGTAGACTTCACAATGAGATTCAAAATAGAATATCTAAAAGTTTAATAATTAGCCCATGTTTCTATGAAACCACAAGACCAGAACAGCTGAACTGCTGGAAAAAAAAAATCAAATCACACATAAGCAAAACAGTCATTTTTAAATCCCCTCGTGACTTTCTCTTTCTCTTCAGACGCATTTATTTGCTTGTTGGATGTTTTCGGGCCTCTGTCTGCTTCTTCTGTGGCTTTCCTTCCGTTGTCTGCAGGTCAGGGCTGACGCCTTGTTCGGAGACTCCTGTCTTGGCCAGGACCTGTGGCACCAGTTCTTCCTTGACATGCCCTGTGTTTGGCTCTTTCTCATCGGGAGTTTCCTCTGTTGTCACAATCTCTACTACTTGAGGCTTCACTTGCATCGAATCTGCAAGAAAATAATTTAGTACAAGGTTGATCTACCCAGCTACCATCCTGATACTGTACTTATTCAATGCACGTGTACCATGATGGTACCGTATATAAAGTGTTGGCTTTTTAAAGTTATCCATTTAGGGACTGTCCAAAGGCCCTGACACAGGAACTGAAGGCAAACAGAATGCAAGACCAGCCTTGTTGTCTGTAGTACAACCTACAGTAAAACAGGAGCAGTATACAAATATACCACCTGAAGGGTTGACACAGCTCGCATTATTCTACCTGTGTAAGGTCTGCCATGGCAGTTTTGTTAGACTAGATGAGAATACCTCTGCTGACATTGCCCAGACTAGTCTCATTAGCAGTCACCATACAACAACAGTAGAGCATATGGGCTTGTAGGACTCACCCTGAATTGTGCACAGTGTTTTTACCTGGCTGGATCCTGTCTGAATTCTTGACTCCCTGCAAGAATTGTGTTTACTCCTCATATAAATATTTTTTTTCTTTCTTGCATGAACAATAAATCTGAAAGTCCTTATCTGACAGACCATGCTGTGCCATAGGCTAGAATTTGTCCCATTTAGAAATTCTTCCATTAATCAGTAAATGTTACTGATGTGTATTGTGTTGATTTGTTATTCCACGTGCTGGTATGTAATTAAAAAAGAAAAATGCTCTGCTCAGTTAAACTTCAAAGTCCATCCTAGTAAAGAAACAAAGTTTTGTGGGGAATGTAAATACAGAAACAAGATATTCAAAGGCAAAAAACAAAATCGTTCCTGGTTTTGTATTATTTTGGCAATTCTAATAAGACAACAATTGCTGCTTCATCAATCATTAGAAAGCTGCTTATTCATGGTTATAGATGGGACAATCTGGAGCCTATTGCAGAAGTATAAGATTAAAGGCTGGACATCACCCTAGAGAGGATGTCAGGACAGACACAAAGGGACAGTTTAGAACCTCCAATTAACATAGCCAGTATGAGTTTGCCTGGTAAATGGCAATTCAACATATACTCTATTTAAAAGGAAAGAGAGTGGTGTTGTTCATTAATCATTTTTACACATTATTTTAACAACTGATATATTTTGTCAAATTGTGGAAAAAAGTATGGCATATTCCTTCAGCAAGCTACAATTAATACAAATTCAGGAATCAACTGTACAGTAGTTATGTCACTGCCACGCCAGTATGCCTAATGTAAATCATTGAAAAATGAGCTTCAAAACTTGAACATGCAAATTTATTTAAGAGACACTTAGGAGAATATGAAATCAGAAACAAATCAAGGAATTACATATTTAGTATTTTCTAGGTGTCTGTAAAACAGGTAGGTGAAATAATGGTGAATTAAAATGCAACAAACCTAGGAAATAATTACCCTAGGTTTGTCACATATTATTTTAAATTAACTAAAATTATTTTCTTATGAATCTAGAGAAAGTGTACACAGAATAATAATAATAATAATAATTGCTTACACTTATATAGCGCTCTTCTGGACACTCCACTCAAAGCGCTTTACAGGTAATGGGGACTCCCTTCCACCACCACCAATGTGCAGCATCCACCTAGATGATGCAACGGCAGCCATAGTGTGCCAGAACGCTCACCACACATCAGCTATCAGTGGGGAGGAGAGCAGAGTAATGAAGCCAATTCATAGATGGGGATTATTAGGAGGCCATGGTTGGTAAGGGCCAATGGAAAATTTGGCCAGGACACCAGGGTTACACCCCTACTCTTTTTCCAAAAAACACCCTGGGATTTTTAATGACCACAGAGAGTCAGGACCTCGGTTTTATGTCTCATTTGAAGGACGGCGCCTGTTTACAGTATAGCATCCCCGTCACTATACTGGGGCATTGGGACCCACATGGACCACAGGGTGAGCGCCCCCTGCTGGCCCCACTAACACCTCTTCCAGCAGAAACCTTCCTACCATCCAGGTACTGACCAGGCTCACACCTGCTTAGCTTCACCAATAGTTCACCGATGATGCATTGAGACTCACTGAAATTTGCATTTGCTCTTTTAATATATTAACTAGTAGTTTATGCACGTAACAAAGCTTAAGGATTTATTTGTGAAAGCAGAAAACTAAATTTTCATCGGTGTGTTCGTTGCTTTTAAAACAGTTAGTACAATATCCACCAATTCATTTTCTGCTTGACAATTGGTGGTTCTTGTGTATTAGCTCTCTATTACTTTTTATAAACAGTATCTTTGATAAAGCAGTACAAACATTTGGATTTGTGTTTTAAAATCCCAGAAATTATATAATATAAAAATAATGTAACATACAAAATGTGATGAAAAAATAAACATATTTTTTTTATTCTAGTGACCTTTTAATAAACATATTTTTTTTATTCTAGTGACCTTTTACACATAGGTTGAGTGTATGTTGTCATTTTAGGGCTTCTTTTTTCAAACATGAAGGGTTCAGCCATTTGACCAAGCCAAAATTCCAGTGCCTAAATTAAAATTCACAAAATGGACCCAGCTACATTCTTTAATCAGGCCAGTGCCAAAAGAAGCAAATATGATTCTCTTATTCATTTCCAACTGCAGTGATCACAAAAGCCTTTAACTTATTGTAAATTAAATATTGTATTTGGATTATGGACCATTTACTGAAATTCTACCTGTGTTAGAGGACAAAACTAGTGTCAAGGCAAAACATTGTAATTGACAAAGTTTTTGTTCTGGGGGGGAGCTGATCTCCTATATACAGGATATTAAGCAATTAATTACAGTATTGTGCTAAAATAATAGCAATAATAAAAAGATTGTATTCAAATAAAAGCAAAAAGTATGTACTTGTGAATTGTGTGTTCAAGGTGATTATGCTGACTGTCAAATTTATGGCATGCAACTAAATTTAACAATTACACAATTGTAATTTCCCCATTTTTGTGAAATAACAATTAACCATTCACAGTTACAAAATGACAACACAGCATTTTTCTACAGGCTGAAAACAGTTATCCAGCTGGATTCTGAAGAAGTATCATTTTGATCATAATGATCATTTGTACATATTATCATCAATCATAGAAACCTGTAACATTTAGAGAGAACAACGATACAACAAAACAACAAGTCTCTCAACACAGCTCTCCAAAAACGTTTTTTTTTTATTTCTTGCCTTTCACTAATGATTTCATAGACTATCCACAAGGAAATCATGCTGCTTAAAGAAAAGTAATAGTATAAATGTTAAAAAAGTGGGTTGTTTGGTTGCTACAGTAGAAATGAATTGATCCAAGGATCTCATCAAGGCGTGCTTAAAAGAAACCAGGGCATTAACTTCAACATCACTGCTGGATAGCTTGTTTCAGACTCCTATAACACTTTTCCAGCAAACCAATGCCTCTCGTTTTCCTTTTAAAATGCATGTTTCCTTTCCTTTCATTCCTGTCATTTGCATTTGTGTCCTCTGATTGCCTTTAACTACTGATACTGAAGAAGTCCACTGGGCTAAATTTGTCTAGTGCTTGAGGAGTTGGAATACTTGTATCATGTCTTCTTGTAGTCTTCTCTATCCAAAACTAAAAGCATTTTTCATATTTCAGAGAAGAACAATTCTTTAAACATGGGAAAATATTTCATTGATTCCAGCAATGTATTTTTGTAACATGTTGACCAGTAATCTATATTCTTAATAAGGTCTGAATGGTAGACCTCCTAGGAAAGCTAAGGTTGCTGCTGGAAGAGGTATTGGATGGGCCAGTAGGGGACACTCACCCTGCAGTTTGTGTGAGTCCAAATGCTCCAGTATGGTGACGTGGACACTATACAGTAAAAAGGCACCACCCTTTGGATGAAACGTAAAACTGAGGTCCTGAATGGTCCTCAAAAATCCCGGGGCATTTCTCAAAAAGAGTAGGGGTGTAACCCCAGTGTCCGGGCCAAAATTTCCTCATGACCTTTATCAATCATGGCCTCCTAGTAATCCCTATCTATGAACTGGCTCAGCATTCTGTTCTCCTTCCCACTGATAGCTGATGTGTGGTGAGCGTTCTGGCACACTTTGACCACCGTTTCATCATCCATGTGGGTCCTGCACATTTGTGGTGGTGGAGGGGAGTCCCCATTATCTGTAAAGTGCTTCGAATGGAGTGTCCAGGAAAGTGTTATATAAGTGTAAGTATGATTTATTATTTGTTATTTATAACATTCATTAATGTAAATTCTGTTCTTTTTACTATATACTCAATTCTGACATAATGTTTTCCTTTCTCTTCTTCCCCCACTTTGTCTGAAGGAGGTAAACTATGCGTCAACATAAACATACAGTATACTGTACTATAAGTCAATTTCATAAGTAGCTTCTTTCAAGGTCATTGTTTTCCATCTTATATTTAGAATTAGTGTCTGTTGTCTGTTTAGAATCTGTGTCTGTTTACTTAAGTCTTCCTGGATTTCCTTTGTATCTTCTATAGTGTTTGTGTTACACCCATGCAAATGTTGGCCCGAATTTACAATTTTTGGATTTCCCTGTGTTTGGTATTTTTGCCCACTGTAATTCGACCCAATTATTGATCACGTCCTGAACAGACTCTCATGCCTTGATTCCTAGAGTGTTTTTTTGTTATTTTCCTTCAGATTCTCATCGGCACTGTAATCTCACCACTCAACCCCTGTTTGGCTGACCACTGCTTCAGCTTCCAAGTTAAATTTGTTTCATTTTCCTACTGTCTAATTTGTTTCAAGAATGGCTAAAATGTTTCAAGAATAGCCTGTGTGTGTATCCAGTCTCTCATCTCTTGGGACCTGCTACCATCAGGTCAGCATAATGTTTTTTACAGAATGACTGAGCCAGAAAATATGGATCCAGTGGGCTTCCAAAATCTCCTCAAAACACTGGCCAGTCACAGCTCCCCTTTAAGAGCTCAGCAAAGCAGTGATAATGAGCTGAAGGAAGCAGTGCAGGAATGTGCCACAATATACAGCATGCAGCAGGAGCTCTCCTTTGTTCGCACAGTGGCTCCAATTCCAGGCCAAGATCCTGTGCCAGCCCTGCGCTTAATCTTAAGCCTCCAACTTAAGTCTTCTGAGAACCTCAGACGTGCCCCGCTCCTCCCTTCTCTGGAGATTCCAAGTACCGCAGAGGTCTCCTTATTCAGTGCGCCACAATTTTTGTTGTAAACTTCTACCTTTCCTACAGACCAGGGCAGATCGTCTGCAGCAACTAACAACTCGTCTCAGATACATTCCATCATTTTGACAGCCCTGGCCGTAACACAGAGTCCTCCCATCTACTGTTGCGTTTCAAGCAGGGAAGTCAACTGATTGCCCACTCTATGTCATATGATTCAGGGCCCTGGCCATTCAGAGCAGATGGGGCGAGGAGCCTCTCATTGCCCTGTTTCGAGCTGGGCTCTCAAAGAGCTTGAGGACCAGTTGGCTTGCAGAGACCTTCCCTACAGCTTGGAAGCCCTTATTGGTCTGGCTAGTTGGATAGAGGGTCGTCTTCGGGAGTGGCATCAGGAGAAATGTTGCAGTGCAACTTCTTTTCCTCGGTGGTGTAAGGCCCCTCCTGTTGAGGTGAAGACCCCTTCTGACATGAGGGACCAATGCAAGTAAGAAGGCTCTCTGCCAGGTTTGTGGTTTTGTAGTGGGGCCAGAATTCCAAGCTCACTGATCATCTAGGCTTGCAGCGCGCAACAGAATTGATCAGCAGGTACTTCTGGTAGCCTTCAAGGACATCTAATATTGATCATTTTGTGTCCACATGCCCCACCTGCAACAGGGATAAAGATACTAAAACTGCCCCTGAAAGTGACTTTAAGTCACTTCTCACTCCTTGATGCCCACAGTCATCCATCTCAGTGGATTTTGTCACCAGTCTCCCACACTCTCAAGGTTGCACTGTGATCTCAACAGTGATGGACTGGTCAGATGTTTTCACTGGGGAGGTCTTCCAGCTTCACATTTTCCACACTGATAGCACGTCTGACTGAGGCCCCAGTTTGTTTTGAGGTTTTGGAGCACCTTTTTGTGAGTGGTTTTGGATTAAAGTTAGCCTGTCCTCAGGGTACCTCCTTGAGACCAATGGCCAGACAGAGTTGGTGAACCAGGATCTGGAGACTTTAAGATGTAATTTGTCTGATTTCCAAGAGGACTGGGTGCGCCTACTACTGCGGGCAGAAGTGTCTTAAATATTGCTGAACAGGATGACTGATACAGTATGTCTCCTTTCTAGTGCCTCTGTGGGTATCAACATCCACTCCTTGCCCTAACTCCATACTTCAATGTTACTGAGAGATCTGTGCAGGACCTTGAAGGGATGCGGCACAGGCCTCACAGTTACATCAGTGTCCTACTAATCACTGTCAGTAGGACACTCCTCCTTCTGAGTCCACGATAAAGGGTATGGTTGTTCACCAAACATCTCCATCTGCGGGTTAATCCAAGAAACTGGTCTCAAGATTCATTGGCCCCTTCTGAATCACGGAACAAATTATTCCAGTTATGTATTGGCTTGCTCCTCCCTGCCAGATTGAACGTCTCCATTTTGAAGACTGCACTGACCAACACTTTAGCTCCAAAATCCATAGGGACCTCAGCTTTAGGGGTCTCCCTGTGCCTGGTACAATCATCTTTTCAATTCACAAATCATGGAAAGCCTTGTCCGGCCCCCAGGTTGCCTGTTGAGAGGGGGGTATTATAATACCTGTGTAAATGCCAGACTGCACATCATGTCTTTATGGCATCAGACCAAGACTACACTGGGTCTGTTAATTCATCTATCTCCTTAAGGATGAGATATGGGCGGTAAGTGATACCAATGAGGCATAATTAAACCGGCACTTAACTTGTTACCTCCTGGAAGTCCTGCCTTCTCATTATCACTTGCTCAGTCATTGGGTTTTCATACCTCAACCTTGCTAGCTTTCCAAGTTTATACTTGGATTTTGACTCTCCTGTGTGTACTGACAACGGTTTTGGGATTCCACTGTGTTTTGGATTTTCGCCCTCTGCGGTTCTACCCAATTGTTGATCACGTCCTGGACAGATTCCTGTGCCTCACTTGTTCTTTTTGGATTCCCTTTTGGATTCTCCACAGCAATTTCAAACAGCGTCTCACAGCTCGACCCCTGCCTGATGTCAGCTTCCCAAGGAAATTGTACAGTAGTTACACTTTCTCCTGGGCAAGTTGTTTCAAGCAGAGACTATGTGTGGATCTAGTTGCTTGTCTCCTGTTCACTGCTACAGTTACATCAGTGTAGCAGTTTTTTATAGTTTTCTAATCATCCCGTTTTGTCATCATCAACGAACATGTTTAGTTTACTACCCTATGTCACAATTCAGAACACTGCTATAAAGTAGGGAGAGCTGCAGTCCTAATAAGCTCCCTGTGGTACTCCATCAATTACATCACCCCATTTTGAGCATTCACCCTTTCATACTTAAAATAAAGTGTCATTCTCTTCTGTAAAATAATCTACACCTTTTGCTTTTACTGTGAGAATCTGCAAAACAGTTCTGTTGTAGTGAAGGAGCTTACCTCTTCTCACTTGCACTTTCTTACCAGTGACGGACTTCTTTTTCCTGTCAGGAGTACTCATGGTTTCCTCAAGATTGCCAGCAGAATCAGCAACGCACCTGGCCATACTTCGATTTTCAAATGCCTGGGTGACATTTAACTAGCGAAACAAGGAGATCATTGTGGGTTATAAATGTAGATTATAAAAATGTTCTAAGTGTATTGTGAGCACTGAAACTTTAACCGTTGTAGCATCTTCCTTATTTTAAAGGTCTTACAGCTCTATGCTCTCAGGCTCATTAGTAATGACAGGACACTCCTAAAACATCCTAAAACAGGACTATTTCAGTTTAAGAGGGCTTTATAGTTACATACAAAACTGATGTGTGATAGATTTTTGTAAACTATAGAAAATAGAGCAACACAGCTTTTGTTTTTAATACACAATACAAATACATAAATATGGCCCTCTTTATATAATAAATCAAATACATTTTGGATTTACTTACATTATAGACTGATCTTTTTGTACTCCATAAACACAGAGTTTTTTTTATATTTCTAATTTATTTTAGTTAAATTGTTATTAATGAAAAAAGCTATGTTTTATATTAAATTGGCTGGTCATACCATTTTTAGGTCTAAAGCAAACCATGCAATGCCACACTACAGATCTGTGGTTTCGAGCGCTGTTAACCTTTGTTTTATAAAGCTGTTGCAAAGAAAACAAAGCCTGTTAATGCTCTATTCTCTTTTGATTGTAATTGTTCATCACAATGCTAATAAACGCTTAAACAATGGTCTCAAATTATATCTAAGCTTTCTGGTATTACAAGAAATATTACATTTTTCATTTTTGGCTACTTTTTTTCATTTATTGGCGAATTAACAAGCTAAATGCTGCAAAAGCAAGTCAATCAATTTCACAGACACATTTTCCAATAAATTATGTTAGAAATTAAAGTACTGTACTCTATGTTTATGCAAAGCTGCCCACAGTCCAGTCACTGCTTCCACTGGCAAACAGTATGCAAGGTAAAGAGGTGAGTGGTGGACAGGGCTGTTAGTTCTGTACATGCACAAAGACAAGACTGTCAGAAGAACGTTGAAAAATCACAATCTTTTAAAAGGGTTATTGTACTGAATATAAAATACATTTGATCTATTTACTGTAGGCAATCTACTGTATATTATACTGAACGGAACTTTACATTCTTCAATATAACATTCAAGTTGTCAAGTGACTTATTATGGAATATTCTTTATACATAATGACATTTTAACAATATACTATAGATAATTCAAAGATTCTTCGAGGCTTGATGATACATCCAGATTTGCCTCAATAATTAAATATAACACCAACAGTTATTTGTTCAATAATTAAAGGTATTGATTTTTTTTTTAAATCCTAAATATTTGTTAGCCATCTATAAACATATTCAAAATATGCCACACTGTTTGCTATACTGAAACATCACAGTGTAACCCCTATATACTGTACTGTCTTTTAAGTTTTACTCATAAATATCCATTTTAAACACTTCAATAGTTCATCTTCAGGTTTTGCAAAGGTGATAAAAGAACATTCTTCACAAAAGGCAGGTGAGCTAAACTTATTTTGCGTACTGCATGGAGCCAATTCAAAATTCAGCAAGAATCTAGTTTGAGAGATAGTTCATTTGCTTTCAGTAAGCTTGAAAAGTTCTTATGGAGCATGAGTGTTTGGAAAGCAATGTCAAAAAATTGTTTTATGTTTACTTTATGTCGAGGACTGAAAAATAAGCAATATTCCTAGAACTCATACGAGTAACATATAGTATAAAGCTTTCCATGACCTACTGTCATGGTGCAGGAAATGGCCTGACTCTGAGAGATAATGTTCCTTATTTACTGAGCCATTCAAGGAAATGAGCACCCTGTGCTGTAACACCCATGTCTAACAAGTATAGTTTTAGCCCACTGTCATGCCCTTTTTCTCATATATCAAAATAAACAGTGTCGGTTTCCTTTGGAATTCTATGTACTGTGTTTCTTGTCTGCATATTATGGAACGCCTTTGTGTTACAGTATATTCAATACTGGAATAAGATTTCAAAGAAGTGTATCTTTTTTTAAGAAAAGAGGATTGTGTTTTTACATAATCAGAAGGGTTTACACTGTACAAGATGCTACTGCAATTCTGACAAACATTCCTTTGTTATTAACCTGATTTGTGTTTGGACTCTAGCCTCCTAGCTGGTCAGAGATGAAAAAAATATGCTTTGTTTTTGATGGTCATGGGAATATACAACTGTAATTTAATAACCAAAAATCATAAAGACTCTTTTCAGCTAATGCTGGCAAAATGTACAAGAAAACTATCACTGGGTTTTTGTTGAATCCCCAGTGTACCATTATTAGTGCAATCGTATGAAATATAAATAATGTACAAAGGGCTTGTGGTGATGTCTGTGGTGCTCTCGGCCCTCTCTGATTGTCTCAAAAGGTTGATGTGCTCTATCACAACTTATTATTCACAGTCACTTCACCTTTGGGGGTTGTTTGATGCAAGTACAAGTGTGGGGAAGTAACTGCTAACCATCCATCCAACCATTTTCTCAGTGGTTTATCCAGTATAGAGAGTCGCAAGGCATCCAGAGCCTATCCCAGCAAGCAATGGGCACAGCATGGGATACACCCTCAGTGGGACGCTAATCCATCGTAGGGCACACATAGACACATTCACACACACCAGGGTCAGCTTTCCCAGAAGCCAATTAACCTACCAGCATGCCTTTTGACTCACATGAACATGTGGAGTTTGACATATATACTGTAGCAATCCAGCACCTTGAGGCTGCAATGCTAACCACTGGATTCCTCAGAGAGTGATATATTAACTAGACAGAGGAGGATTTTATATATTCTAAAAACATGAACATGTTTGAAAACAACAGGTTTGTTGACTGATGATCTCTGAGTGCTCTAAGAGAGAAAGTCTTTAAAAGAGCTTTGTCAGTTTCTCTCATCCATTGTTCCTTAGTCACTGAGTGCCTGTTAGACACAACACTCCATATTGTTTTATACACTCTATGTGTGAGAATGCCTGTGTATGTATCTTCATACACAGAAATAGCTGTTCAAAATGCAATACGTACAATCAGACTAACACATCATGAATTACAAAGCATGCTAGTTTAAAATGTTGTAGAAGGTTAGATGTTTTCAGAGCTTGTCTCTTTTAATTAATAATATATTGTAAGGTATAAGGGAAAGTTTCTGATTTTCATTCCACAAATGAAAACGGAACTAGACCAAACAAATAGAATTAGCACAATCTTTTGTGTTTACAAGTCTTTAATAAAGGAGAATTGTACTTTCAGATTCAATCCTTTTAAAACAAATGCTAACAGTGTACAGTAAAGACAAAATAAAAGCTTGTTAATCCCTTGCATGTTTTTTGAGGTGAACTGATTCTGCTAAACCTCTCTCCCATGTGTGGGAGGGGAAAAAGGACTCAAATGGCTTCCAGCTGGTTCTGAAAGTGAGTCAATTGGTATAATTACAAAGCACAGAGCTGAGCAGTAAGTGGGACATAAAATTAATCATCATATGGAGGGTGTTGAGATGTCAATTGTGTTAAAATGCTCTTATCCTCTTATGAAAACCTCTTCTATTTGCAGCTACAGTATATTTGTTTACAAATGAAACCCTAATCATAACCTTCCAAGGAACTTGCCCATTCTAGATTTTAATGTCCATTTCAGCATATTATTAACCATTGCCTGTCTTTGCAGTCTTGCAGAACTGAAACATTGGATTAAATCCTGCACCTGTTACAACTTCAACTGTTAAATAATGGAAAAAAAGTACATTAAGGATCCTATTATTACTGTTTTTAGACTTTTTATAAATTCACTGTTATTTAGCCTTTATGGTACTGGAAGAGTTCTGAGCAATGTTGTTGAATGCTGATGTGCAAGACAAATTCCTGTTGGGGCAACAGTTAAATATATTCAATACCCTGCCTTGTGCCCGTTGCTTGCTGGGATAGGCTCCAGCTCCCCTGTGAAGAGGTTAGAAAATGGATGCATGGATTAACCACAGCCACTCACACAGTCTTCATAGCCACCACTGGGCGAAATTCTGCTTGAAGTTTAACAAACCTCATAGATAGTTTCTGTGTCCTGAAGACAAAGTGAAAGCCTGACCATTTTACCCTGCTTTCCCTGCCTCTGTGTCTCTTGACACTGGATTAAGACTGTCATCACAAATTTCACACTTTTAACCATCCAGAGTAGTGATGTCACCTGAACAGACTTGCTTGCTATGAGTACTTTTACAAAGGCATCCGTACTAGAGAACTGTGCTATACAGAGTATTGTTTTTCACTAAGTACAGCAGACATTTTTGGAGCTTTACACATTGTACCTTTGCTTGTAGCTTTAATTTAGTTTCTTATAATAGCATACTGTTCCCCTCTCTCCTTACATCAACACTAGATACATCTATGATTCATGACTGATTTGAAAAAACTAGTTCCAGACATGACTGAAGTGATGTATGCTTCACGCATACATTCAGTTAAACGTTCAGTGAAAAGTGCCAGTCGTTCCACGTTACAATTCACTCGCAGAGTGAAATCTGGCAGAGATGGAAGATGACCACAGTGACCTCTGCTGTCATTTCATGGTAGTGCACTTTAGTGAATAACTTGAAAACCTAATACAGGGGTTTGCAACGCCAGGATCCAGGAACACAGCAGGATTTCTATGAGTCCTCTCAGCTGAGAAAAACTAAACAGGTCTAGTTAAGCAATAACTGGATCAATGTAACACTTCTCACAGGTGAAGAGCTGTTTATAAGTTAGAGAAACTGAAAACCCTTATGGATTCCAGCCCCCAAAAACCAGAGTTGGAAAATCCTACTTACCCACCCTACAACAGATGATAGAAATGTAACCTGAGATTGAATATCCATTGCTGAAATTCCTGAAATACACATTCAGAACTCAAGTGGCTAACATTATATTTTATAAGGAGATGTTTTACTTTATACACTTTGTGCAAATACTATGAGACTGACAGCTCTTGATCGTCGTAGTGACAGTCATACTTCCTACATAGTCTAAAAAGTCTTTTAAAAAGTGGGAACTGCCAGAAGATGTATCAAACTGTAGAAGGAGGTAGAAAGACAGAAACAGACTTGCTCACACAAGTTCAAAAAGGGATGTGGGGGAAAGAAAGGAGGAGGATGACTTTTCAGTGATTGTACATTCAAACAGCAAAAGTGGCCAGAAAACATAGGCTGTGTTTGGATTACAGTGGAACAGAGAGAGAGAAAGAGTGGTGTGAGAGTGGTTATTGATGCAGGCAGTCAGTGACCAAAGATGAAAAAAAAATACACAGTGAAACAAAGTAGGAGTAGAGATGAAGGATTTGTGCACCATTTATTAGTTAATTGAGAAGTGGCACCAAAAAAGAACAAGTGGTAATCTTTAATATGACTGACTGAAATGGAAGACACAGAAAACAGTGACTGGATAACATCCACTTTACATGAATATCTGCAATGCACAGTTGTAATCTGTCTTATCTGCAACACACTTCATCTGAGCCGTGTAACACTTAACATAACACAAAGTCTCTCTTTTACCTTCATACTTTTAACCCTTTATCTTAAACCTGAATTGCATCAGGGAAGACAGCATACAGTATGCTCTCATGGGCTTTACTGTGGCTACAATAGATCACAAGGTAAGCCACGCAGGTATCATTAAATTCAAAGCCAGAACAAAAACTGTAGGGTTGTTGACCTACTCCTGAACGATTTCACTAGTATAGTGCAATATGTAACCAAATATGTGTGTCTCAGCTTGGCAAACCATAGGGAACTAAAAATAGCATAATATTGTAAGTGGTTTAAGCAGAAGACCACTCAGGGGCACACTTTACAACATTTAACAACCAATGTAATGACAATAAGCCAAAAACAGATTAGAATTTCAGCATTGCACGTGGGTGTAACAGTATTTAGCCAGTTGTTGGCATTTAGTATAATAATAAAATTAATTATACTGGGCTCTACCATATTCAAATGGAGTTCTGGGGCTCCCTTACCAGACAGAATTAGAAAGAACACAATAATTGACCTAAGAACAAACGTTTGGTTGCATTTCGTCTTTGTTTTTTGTTTTGCTATTTAATGTCCACATGGTTCTACTGCTTAACATAAAACTGCACAACAAATGCACAAATTTTTCATATGAAAGAATGAAATCACCTCTACTCTAAATTCAATTTTCGGTAGATGGAGCCATTCATAACCGGTGGATTCCTGGACTGGGCTGAAATAGGGATAAAGGTTCTAAGATTTAAGAGGGGTTTTACTATTATCTACTACCATGCCAGAAAGGACAGTGTGAATATTACTTCCTACTGTTGTTTGCTAAAAGGTGGGAGAAAAACCTTTGAAAACACAAATCATTGGCCTGATTGGCAGAAAGAAATTGATATAAGAAGAGATACAGGTTAGTTTGTCCCTTATTATTCTGGATTATGTCTTAATCTTTTCTTAATTTAAACTAATGACTCTTAATTATTTTTTCTTGTCTGCCTTCTTCAAAGCTTCAAACGCAGCTTTCTCCTCTTCGCTTTCCGGTATGAAGACACTTACAGTGAAGTCTCCGCACTCCGTGCCGTACTTGTTTTTCACCAGAATGCTGTATCTGCCAGAGTCCACGGAGCTGACGGAGGTGATGGTGAAGCTGGCGAATTTGCCCGACTCGAACTTGAGGACGTGTTCGCTGTCCTGGATCATCTCTCTCTCGTTCTTCAGCCAGGTCACCTCAGGAACAGGATCTCCCCAGATGTTGCAGGTCAGGTTAAGTGACTGTACACGGCATAATCAACATATATGACTGGGGTTTAACAACTGGAGGTGTCTTCGAATGAGCTGTATTTTGACCTTTCTCAGTTTATCCCTCTTTTAAAGTTATATCGACTGACAGGCTGCATCTTTTGATGCATAGTGATGGTCTTCAAATACAACTTGATTTTTAAAAGACCATCAGATGAAAATAACTTATTTTTTCACTGTCTTTAACTTACCATTTTTTCAATTACTACACTATTCATTTTTAATGCCGGAAGGCACTATAGGCTATTATTGTTTATTACAAGTAAGTGGGAAGTTATTATAAGCGGGAAGCTAAATCACCTCCTGTTGACTGATCCAATATTAGGACTGCTGTAAAGAGACCTATAAACTATATAAACAGTTTTGGAATTTAATGCTGAGAAATTTGCCTTTTCAATAGTGTGGGTAATTGTATGTGTACGTGATGCCATAATTTCCATATTTTAAATTGTGCTCTTTGATAAGTAACTTCAGTGTAGGAGAGCAAAACCTTTTTTTAAAGATTGACATGACATGGAAAATAAATAAAGCCCAAAGTTTGCAACATGTGAAAAAGCCCCTGAGATGTTTTACCTTGCCTTCTTGAATTGTCACCACATCAGGCAGACCGCCAACAACTCGAGCACGATCTAGAAACAATCAATCACAGACAGTCAGGGGGCAAAGCTGAAGTAACTGACTTCATTGTATGAAAGCAAATTTTTCCATATATTTCTTTTATATTCTAAAACTACCACCTCAGAAAATATGTACTCACTTCTTTCAGCTATTGCAGCTTGCCTGGGGAAGGAAAAGAGACAAAAAAGGTCAGAAGCTGATATGGCAGAAATTACAATGAGCTGTGTTGTCTCCTCTCATTTGAAACCTTCTTTGCGTTGTTCATTTAGAATACATTGTCTGCTGTTTCTCAGTTCAAGACAGAAAGCACTACGTGTCTGGAATTTAGTTGTTCCAAACAGCTTACATTTATGAGTGCTATAAATGGTGTAAGTTTTGTACTAATTCTTGGGTCATATTAAATGGTTACTGGATGCCACTGGGTTAAGTGTCTTAACCCATAAAGGTGCTCACTGAGGAGTACAAATTGAGCACTATAGTCCAGGCTTTGTTGCTTTGAGTCTGGGCTACGTTGTTTCCCACGTGAAGAAACAGGATACAATTAACAAAGTGCCACCAGTGGGGTATCCTTGGGCTACCCTTGTGACATGTGAGGCACCTGTGAGCCAGTAGTGTTCTGAGTGTGATTCACATCACTCCTCCTGCTGTGCCTTCTGTAGGCACTGTGAGACTGTAAGTGAAAAATAGAGGGTAAATCTGACAAGTGCTTGTTTCAGATAAAAAGGCTGTATATATCCTCATCCACCCCTGTCACTAAAGAGTAAGAATGAGTCTGAAGAGTAAACAGAGTATTTTTGGTACTCCGGAACCCAAAATGATAAATGATAAGTTTACAGCAAATTGACTGACTTAGTTCTAGGGAGCTAGAAAAACTGTATTCCTAAACCCCTGAGCTCGGTCACACAAAAGCACATAGCAGTCCTTACAACTACAAAATCAAAAACTAAATAAACATCAATTAATTTTTGAAGAATCTATTTATACATAGATACATACATCTGGATGGAAGCCATCCAGATTTATATTTATATCCATGATTAATTAGAACAATAAAAATAATTGCCAGAAAAAATTATGGATTTGATAATGTACCTTGCTTAAAAAAATCCTAAAGGACATTTTATGTGCTGGAGTAATGGAACACACTGAATGCTCTCCCTATGCCCATGTGGGTTCCCATTGTGCAAAGACTTACAGTACTGGTACTGTAAGTTAATTGGCTTCTTGGAAAATTGGCCTTGGTATGTGCTGTCTGGTGGACTGCCATCCAGTCCAGGGTGTACCCTGTCTTGTGCCCATTGCCTGCTGGGATAGGCTATGGCTTCATGAAACTCCATGTTGGATAAAGTGATTCGAAAACTGATGGATCGATGTTGTGGATTGTTTTATGGGCATCCCTTAACTTGTGGTGGCCATTTGTCTGCAGTCCTTGAAGAGCGGCTCCAGCAATATCCATGCTTGCAGCTTCTGACTGTTTTCAGTTTGTTACCTCCATTTTTACCCTAGGGAAATATTCTGAGACCTCTATAAGGTTCTGGAGGATTCCCCTTGCATTTCCAAATAAGTTACCTGTAGATTTGTTTTGTTTAATTTAAATTAAAGTATTACTTAAAGATGTGAATAAATTGAACATGTTTTCACCAGGAATTGAATTAATTATGCTATAAAGTAAATTACTCATAAAAAATATGCTTTGTGCAATGCTATTATGAATACATAACATTTTAGAATTGATTAAAGAAAGACACATTATCCAAATCATAACTCTTTCTGTTATGAGTGTTTTGCTTCCACTTCATCTGCAGTTTTAATAAACCTGGAGGGCACTGTATGTATGAAAGTGGCAAAAATCATTTTAAATGTGATGCCTCTTTGAAATTTGTGGAACATTATTTTTTAACTTGAATTATCAGCTGTTATCTGTACCAAAAACAGATGGTCTAGAAGACCCGTCAAGTATTTTTTGGAGGTAATCTCATTTCTTTGTTTGCACAGCCTACGGAAAGCATTACAATACATCAAAACAAGTGTTAATGCTTTCCGATAATGACTATCTTGTAAAAACGTCAAAATGAATAAATCTGAAGAAGCCATTGTTAACTGTCATTGATTAAGTACATACTGCCTGGGTGTATCTACACCCCCCATGGAGCAGAAAATTACTGAAGGCAGCATTTTCACTGTCTGGGCTCACAGGCTCAACAAAGCCCTGCTTTGTTGATTTTTTTCTGTGGAACAGCAGTAAAAGAAGGAGAAAATGCTTATGAAAATCTTAGGTAGAAAGGCAGAACAAAAAGAATAGCTTGTGAATTCTCCAACAATAACATCTCACATTTTTGTTTACTTACTTCAACCTCTGGAATTCGGCAAATGCTTCATCAAATGCTGTATCAGAAAAGAAAAACATTAGTGAGGAAGCCAGAGAGGTAGTCTTAAGACAACCAATATCTGACAAATGCATGATAGCTTAAAGATGGTTTTTAAGGAGCATATAAACAATGAGCAATTGTTTTAAAAAATACGAACCCTTTAATAATATTTCAGATTGAATTCTAGCTACAGAAGAAACAGCTTCTTTAGACACAGGCAGGAACATGCCTACAGTGATCATCTCCTTTTCTGCTTAAACGGCCCAGCATGTCATAATGGTCACCTTTTTTCTTACATTTGAGATTAAAACCCCAGTTCATTTTCCGTGTGATGATTTCGGTGTCTGTGCCAAACCTGAGACTAGACTCACGCTGGTAAACATTTGCATGTACTGTATAGTATTCCCATAAAGAAATGGAATAGTAGCTTTTGCTCCAGAACACAAAAGTGTCTTTTACAACCCAACTTTTGTTTTTTTCAGAAAGCAAATTCGGATTGAAAGGCCAGTTAATTAGCAAGACAATCGCCAGCCTAGGCAGCATCCCCCAAAAGATAAGATTAAAAACATGATATATCACGTACTCTATGCAGAGAATAAAACTAACTCTCCAATCCAATGTACATTCCAACAGCATACCTTGTCCAGAGAGGTCCACGGTTTTCTGGACTCCAGTCTTGCCATCGAAGATTTCAATGGCATACTTGCCCTTGTCTTTCTCAGTGGGCTCATTGATCTGCAGCCAGAGCTGCTCTCCTGTCACTCCACTCTTGACTCTGTCTGTAAAGGAAATCTTAGATTCTCTGCAACAGGAGAGAAAAAAAAAACGCGCTGAAACCCATATTTATAATCGGATTTATATTTATACTATATGTATACTTAAATCTATACTTGGTAAATGAACGAATGTGTCTGTAATTTCAAAAAACTTGTGGAATGCCACATGATGTTTTAACTGAGATGCAGTTATTCTCATTTTTTCTTTTCTATAGAAAATATGAATCCACACTGATTTTTTTTTTCATTTACAGACCCAAATTGGGATTACCTCTTGTTTTCAGGTTTAGTTTACAGCTCCATCTCTACTGCAAAGGGATAATAATATCTGAGAGACATGCTCCTCTGACATGCCCACCTTTTAGAGCATTTCATGATCTGACACATGGCAAAAGTTTGCTCCAAAGCGTGTGAACATGTGGTGTTTGCATGCTAAAATGGCGGGAAAACAAAACTTTATTGGCAGATTACAACCAATTTAATATATTTAAAGTTAAGGTTTGAAAACATCACGTTGACTTGTTGCTACTTCAGTAGATAATAAAATGGTTCCTTACTTGTGATGCCAGCCAACTCTGAGCTCATCAGTGTAGTAAGTGACAAAGCAATAGAGTCTGATTCCTTCCTCTGTGCTCTGGATCTTCAGATCTGTGGCAGACTGAGCTGGAAAAACAGACATTGAACTTTACAGCAGGCTATCAAAGGCAAGCATGGTAAAATCACATTTTCATCATACTGTATATCTTTTCTTGGGGCACATAACACCATTTTGAAGTTCTTTTTACAATGAAATCAAATTTAATGGGAAAAGTGGGACAAAAATATCTGGTACATTTTTTAAAAATGTATCTAATATTGTATACAAATACTTACAATACAAAGGTTAAATAAATAAGAGTTCTTTCTGTACATGCAGTTTCTTACCAATAACTCTGAATACATCATTCATCAAATCCCTGAAACCTGGAATACACAACAGTAATACTGTATTAGCATATTAGCATTGTGTCAGTATAACTGTATAAATATGACTTTAAAATGAAAGCAATAATATTATTGATGTATCAAAATTGCTAAAATCACAGAAATATCTATACAAGCCAAGAGAAGATATGATCAATTTCTGATCTTGTTGACCAGGTAAATCCCAAGATAGAAGGAGATGGCTGAACAAGCAAGCATCACTAACATCAACCCTCCCATCCCAGTCATACACTAAAATACACTGGCTTTATCATCTTTTATAACATTCCCTTTCTCTCCATTTCTTTGCACCAGAAATTTAAGGTCAGAAACCAACACAAAGCCTAGAATTGAGTGTTTGGGGAAGAAGAACATTACAGTTAACAAAAGACTCAGTTTAAATGGGGGACAAATATAACTTTGAATATATAAAAAACATGTTTATTATTTATTTAATCTTTTATATCAATTGAAAACAAAGCCGGATTTGCAAAGACAACTTTGAGAGAACCCATTAACACAGCAGTGCATTTACTGGGAAAATCTATATAAAATCTCTTGCTCAAGGTTACAACGGGAACATTCCACTTGGGATCTGAACCCATTAACCTCTGGCCCTGAGTCCCTAACTATTTTTTAACTACTTTATACTGCTACCTGTATACTGCTAGATCAGGTTAGTTTAGTTTCTATCTTTGTTGTACATTTATTTGTACTACCTTAACTGCATACCTCTTTCAGAATACGATAGTGTACTTGCTTTGTTTAGGGAAAACAGTGCTCTAAACTAGTCATGTCACTCTAATATTTCACAGGAAATACAAACATGAATCAGACAGCAAATGAAGGGATGGTTAGTGACCTTGATCAGTCAGATTGAGTGAACTCTTGTCCTTTCCTCTGTCGTCCCTAAGAATCACTTCATATACACCTGCATCTTTCTTTGAAATCTAAGAGAAAAGAGATTTAAATTAAATCGGAAGCAGCACCATTTGTGATATTAATGAAGGGCACTATTGTGTTTTGTTACAGAAAAAGAAAAATCATTATTTTTGAAGAAAACGCAGGTTAAAAGCAGTTCATTCTTTTACAGTACAAGTTGGAAAATATGCCTGTAATTGGCTTACAGCTGTTTACCAATGTAGGGAGTCAGTGTCATGCCCACCGGTGCTTTAAACCTGAAGTCATCCAGCATCATAATGACATACAGCTGACTTCTCAATATAGAGGCTTAAAAACCAGATTCATGGGAGAAAGGGCAAAGACACATCCTACTCAAGATCAATAATGAGTGACACCTCTTTAAAATGTTCCTCATGTGTTCTGAAACCAATATGAGCTTGCTCTTTAACTTGATGGACAAATTCAGTACAGTATGCTTCCAACCTTTATAGCAGAAGCAAGACTACATTTAAAATAAAAATGAGCATTATTTATACGTAGTCAAGAATTGGCCTTGAACTGTCATAGATTTGTACCTGTAATAGGTGTATATAGAAAAGATCAAATCTACTGAATGATTTCCATTTCACTTTGGTTAAATCAATGATAGAATGCACAACCATGAAGTGGGTCTAAAATGATATGTGCACATTTGAAAGCTTGTTTTTCCCGTATAATGATTTAGAAAATTATGGAAAGAGTTAAATGAAGTTAAAAACAGAGTAATAGTATGGCACATAGAAAAGTATGGTAAAGTAAAACCACAGCCAACTGAAGGAAATGCACAAAATAAGCATAGAAAACTACAAAGCATGAAAGAAAACAAGCACTTCACATACGCCAATAACATCTATATCGGCTTACCTGGGAGATCAAAAGAGTGCACACTCCTTCTTTGAAGTCATGTTTGTTGTCTACCATGATCTCCCTCTCATCCTTGTACCAGATAATGCTGGTCTCCTTCAGAATATTAGCCACCTGAAGGGGGAAAAACAGCCTGATTTGCTTCTAGAAAATAAATAACACTTCTTTCCACCCTCATCTCCAGTACCAAATCCCAGCTGGGGTTTCAGATGTCGGGCATAAGGAGATGTTTGGCATTAGGGGCTGATGGCATCTTGTGATGTCACCCTGCTCAATTGAGTGTCTGTTACATAAAGCAGGTGCTGAGAGAAGGTTCAGCTTAATCTAGTTACTGTACATGTCTAAAGCTATTTTTACAGTAATGTACGGGCACTGGCTCTTACGGGTAAGTCTTTATAAAATTGGAAAAATACGAATAAAATCTTTATTCATGTATTGTAAAAGTACATTAACACATTAATCCACTTGTGAGCAAACATTTTTCAGCTCTGGCATAGATAAGTTAGGGAGTCTCAGTAAGTAAGGATGCCTCAAGACATGGAGTTTCATGCCCAGTTACTGGACTGCAAGTTTCAGTTTAAATATAGGAAATCATTTATTTGAAAATTCTGATAACAATATGATCAGTGATCACTGCAATGCAGTTTATTGTTCTTAAAAGCAAAGTCTGCTGCAACCTAGAGGTTTTCACGATGTTTTAAGAACCCCTGTGAAGTCCAGTCTTTAATAACAGGATACTGTATATCTCAAGGCCTTACCTTGCATTTCAGCAACACATTGCATTCTGGGGTAACTTCCCAACTAAGGTATTCTGCAAAATGCGGACCTGCAGGAGCAAAAGAGATATAATTGTCAGGAGAAGCTGCCCAAAACCTATGCCATTAACACCTACACTTCAGTTTTGCTTCTTGGACATTGGCTCTTTGTTTTCCCAACAAAAAAGCTCTGGACACTGGGGAATCTTGCTTTCAGTTCTGATCTTCCACCCCATATCAGAATTTGCAACATAGTCTGAACTTTTACATCTTAACTTAAAACTGACTTCTATGCTCTAGTTTGAAATTCTGTTAAGTTCACAGCTTAATTTGTGCATATCTGTCTCTTTTGTTTCTTTTACTTGTGTAGCACATTGAGATATGAAAGGTTCTATATAAAATTAAAATCATTAGACTGCTATTACATATTACAGCTTCATTCTTGTGTGAACATTTCTAGATGTTTAACTACTTGTTTTCATAGTCCATCATATTGTTTTTGGGATAACCAAAAATTTAGGTTTAAAGCAAAATGAATGCACAACTATTATAATTTTTCATCTTCTGTCCACAGATATTTCCTTGTTTTTTACCTTGCTTTCTGAACCATTCTTGTCTCTGGAATTCCGATTCCTTCTGGAGATTCTTGAACACTGAAAATAATTTTTTAAAAATCTGATTAATCCCAAAGTCTGCACTTTTTATGGACTTCAATGATGGTGCTACAAAAACAAAATGTTGTCGACTTTTAATGAAATACATCTTGATTCATGCCAGAGACACTAATCAGCAATACTGTTGGACTATCTTGCCAGGGCAGCTCTGATACTGGATTGGTGAAATCCAATATTAGAGCTTCTCAAGGCTTTTAAAATGAAAATTGCCTTTAAGTATTTACATTTACAATAAATAAGAAAAAATGTATTGCACACAATTCACAGAGAAATTGTGTACCATAGATCAATTGATAATGGATAAACAGAACAAATGCAATGTGAAATCAATACCAGTGATAAAATACCAAGCTGCTAAATAGGCCATCAAAACTTCAATTATATGTCTGTGTTTGGACTGCACATCAGAATCATGGGAGTAACAGGATTCACATATCAGCAAAGGACTATATCATCTGTGGAAAGAGAATCTAAAGTTTTCATCAGAAGTAAACAGCTGCACCTCCTTTAGCCAGACACTAAAACCCAAAGCAGCAGACTTCCAAGTAGGCAAAGACGCCACTGAAAGGACATTGAGGAGGCTGGACAGATCAGCGGTGACTAATCCATTGAAATTAATAGCCAGTCTCACAGGAGCTCCTTTTCACCAATGAAAGATATCATGACAGAGCTTCCAGACCCAAGCCATTAAACGACGATGAGAAAATTATCTAAATCAAACTGTCTGCTTTTTCTGACAGTTTTCTTATAGCGGCCATGTGTATCCTGAGATAAACTTGGCAGGAATACGCAACAAACAGGGCACTTTCCATAGTTCAGTGAAGAGAAAATGTGTTTTTTGTTAATACCAAAACAGTCACAGTAGTCTGTCATTTTCAGGCTCTGACCACATAGCTCCTTCCTGTTTTAACATTGATATCTACGTCCAGGAAACAGCAAAACGAGAACAGAAAAACAAAGGGAACATTCTCTACTGAGTGACAATGAAGGCATTAAGATTGTGTGTTACTATACCCTGGTCAAGAACTGGATGTGAAAGAAATCTGTTGTATAGTAAGGTGTCTCTTAGTTTTTCTTACTACCCACAATCACTGTTTGACAAATCTGCTGGCTGCTCAGTATTCAGTGTCTGCTGGCTCTTGCCAGTGTTCTCTGTTTGATTTTCTGTTTGATGACACAGCAATCATAATAGGATTTGTAACTTTTTAGAAGTTTAAATTTCTTTTTGGAACTTCCAAAAATAAAATTAACTTAAGAAATAACTCTACGCTGAATTTTTCAAAAAGCTGACATTTCAAATCCTTTGTACTCTTCTTGAGTCCTAAATTGTCCTCTCTAACATGATCAAGCAAATCCTCTGTCTAGGCTAAACTAGGACACTGCACTGGGGTTCATGGCTCAGTGGAGTTTAAATGAAATATCACTAAGCTTTTCGCACTTCAATGGCCTCAAATTCTTCTTGCTTAGAGGGTAGAAAAAAATTATAAGCACACAGTTCTGCATTTTCTGCCTCATGTGTAGAAATACAATATGATTTCTCAACAGGTTAAGGAAAGCCATGATCTTTGACATTCAGAATGACTCAGGAAACCCTTGTTTTAACCTGGGTTTTCAACTTTAAGTCTAAGCTGTATTTTGCCTCCATACAGTGGCAAAAAGATTTGCCAAAAAAAGAACACATACCAAATGTGGCATCTAAAAATGTAACATTCCAAGTGTTTTTTGTATCTTGTGTGTCATACAGTTTAACATAAAGAGTGGCCATATATAACTAAGCAACTAAGAACACTATAATTTGTAAATATATGCCTATATCCACATGCCAATTGTTTTAAGTTTTATAGCACTGTTATTATAGTGCTATAATTTAATACCTTATTATTAAGTCACATGATCAGCAATACAGCACTTAAAATGATGTCCAGTTGATTGACAAAAAAATCTTTATTGATTCAACTAATGCTTGATAAAACGGGTTCATAATATACAGTATATACAGCAGGATGAGTTCCCTTGAAGATCAGTCTCACCAAACATGGCAAATAGCTAGAAATAGTGTTACGCTGCCTCCTAATGGACACTTCACTTGTATCTTGCTCTTCATCCATATTCCAAGAACAAAATAATACCACCACAAACAAGGAATACTGGAATCCAGCTGTGTGAACTCTGTTTAAAAATAAGCCACAGCTTCCTTTTCCTCTATCACGCTGTCATTAAGTTTTCACACATTACATTACATCCGAGCCACATAATAGATTTTCTATTGACTAAAAAGTTGCTGGCTTTCGTTACTAAATCTATTATTTACTCTATGTAAAGCACTTCATTAAGTACTGCATTGCCAATTAAAAATGTATGATGCCCCTAGGTTGGCCCACATTCTCACATATTTCATACCTAAAATGTAATTTGATCTTCATGAAAGACTTAATAACAGATTAAGACAATTTGATTCAAGTATAATACAAAGACATATGATGTATATGGATAAATAAACAAAATCACCCAAATGATCTGTTGGAATACATTGTTTTTTGCCACTCAAAACATTTGTCACTATAGCCAAAATTTCTTGCTCATCCAAGTGTACTGGGTCATCCATGTCAACATGAGACAGACAGACATATTTTTACAGGGCAATGATTGCTGTTTGTCCTCTCCGGAAAACCAATCCTGTTCACTGTTTTTCTAATGGCAGAGGCATGAACACTGACATTAGCCACGACAACAACAGTCTGCAGATACTTAAATGTTACTATGGGGGTTCTTTGTGAACACTGGATTTTGTTCTAGGTTGCTCTTGGGGAGACCTTTGTAGGATGATCAATCCTGAATCAAGTCACTCTAATCTTTAATATTGGTCTCACAGTGAATGGATGGAGCCTAAAATGTTTAGAAATGCCTTTGTAACCATCACTGATAAGCATGATGTGTGTTTTCCCTTGTATATTCCCCTTGCACCAAACTCACTCATTTTCAGGTCATTATTTAAGACAAAACCTTTTCAACCACAGTCCTGGTTTATTTGTTACCCAAATATTTAGCTGCCTCCCTTATTTGTGCTAAGAAAACTAAGGGTTCACTTATTTCACATACAGTACACTGATTCTTATTTTCTTTCTATTTAATTCAGCATCGTGCCTCATAAAACATTGAGCTGTTAAATGTAAACCAGTTTGGTTATTAAAGAAAAGACTGGTTTTGATACCCTTATTGGAAGCCTTGTTTGAAATTGTAATTCTCATATTTTGGGGAACAGAATATAACACATTTTTGGGGGGACTTTGTTTCTCTCTAAACACACACTACCATTCCTGTCACGGGCAGAAGAAATCCTTGAGAGAATGAATGAAGGGTCATAGAGTAGGGCTTACCTTCCCCAATCAGAACTAAGCTGGACTGATTGGTAGCTTTTCCATCCTGGAGCTGGAAGGTGAAAGTCCCTTCATCTTCATCCCCCAGCTTCTCCAAGAACATTTCCACGATACCTGTGTTTCTGTCAATATTCATTTTATATTTCTGCAACAAACAGAGGTAGTGGCAGTCAGTCAGTCATACAGTCAGGCTCAAGAGGCTTATGAAATAACACGTTCAGTGGTCTACCAGATAATTATTACAAATTGTGATTTGTGTTTCTTTATTTTTGTTCACAAAATAATATATTTCCTGTTTGTTTACTGCAGATAGTGGGCCCAGATGTTTGCAATTCATTACTAATACATAAATCATGAAATATAACATTCTGTCCTGTCATATTTTTCATGCTAGCTCAGGATCTACTGTACATTGTAAAATGACCCAGTACAAATTTTGAGTAAAGTCCTGTCTAATTTATCTTTCTGTGTATGTATTCCCTTTTGTCTTCCTTTTTAAAAATAAACTGAATTTTGTAGCTAATTATAGGCATCACTAAATATGTTTATCCTGACTCTTTATCCCAGGATACTCAGTTACAGTCATTTCATACCACACTAAATGCAGGGATTTCCAATATGCTTGCACCACCACTTAAAAACACCACAGGGAAGAAATGAATCATGCTATTTAAAGCTTAGGTCCTTGAAGTTCTAAATATTGTATTTTTTATGAACTGGAAAAGCAGAAAAATCTACTCTAACGGAAAAAATGAAGTCAACGTTTGTGAACATCTTATGAAACAAATTCAAATATACTTTCAATCATTAAATGAACAAGGATACAAGTAATCCCAAATAAGGTATTAGTAATAAGGAAAGAGCCAATTATTAAACACTGAAATAATGGTCTGCCATCTGTGGTAAATTTAAAAAGTGTTTTTTAAGCCTAGTTTCCTACTTTGGATCTATTGTTTCTTATAAAACCACATTTTCCTCATTTTAAATATTGCAAAAAAAGAATAAAGGCAAAGAAGAATCCATTGTATAGTACCTCCTTATTTCTATCAAATGGCCTCTAAAATAAGGTCAGACAACTATATTTTTAGTATTCTCCATTTTCCCTTTTCAGGATATTTATGCCTGTCATAAAGCCATGGAAAAAAAATCTGCAAAGCTATAAAAAGAATGTAAAAATCTTAAATATCCCTGATAACATTATGATTCATATCAAATTTAGAATGAAGACATAAAACAAAGTGCATACTTATCATTCTTCTGTAAGACATTTAACTGATGCATCATGTCAAAATGAAATGCAAAACCTATTACTTATGAACTGGATTCACTGCAAGTATTTTTTGCTGTCTTCTGGGTCTGAATCTCTAATTATTGCTAAATGCTCATATTTATTTAAAAGTTGGAAAGAGGTTTTGTGTGAGTCACGTGTTGCAATGCCCTAGAGCTGCCTAACAGCATAGCAAGAGAAACACATGTAATTCATTTGTACTGAGTTATACCTCTCCTTGGGAGAGTATGGCATCATTAAATACGTAGTTAGCCTTCCCGTTGGCAGACATTTTCTCTGCTTGTAGCCAGAAACGGACACGGCCTTTCTCCAAAAGCTCCACCTCCAGCTCTCTCTTCAGTGGAATAGCTGGCCAAAAAAATGCAGATATTGAGCAATGACTGGGAGCAGCAGTTTTGTCCTCCTAGAAAAGTTAGTTCTTTGTCATGATTACGTCCCTGATGAATGTCGCAGACAATAAACATTTCACAAGCTTTTCTGCTGCACATTATTTATCACATTAAAGGATCAGAGCGAGAACACTGTAGACACTATCAGACAAAATCATAAGGGGGTGTAATAAGAACCTAAACAGAAGGGCAAGAGAATGAAGTAAAGTACTTTAAGACATAAAACAACTGGTGCTGAATGTCATACAGGGTAGTGGCAAGTCATTCAGAGTGTGTCCTTGTGCTACCAGCTGTGCTACTAACAGACAGGTACCTTTCAAGTATTTTGTGACCTTGTGCTACTTAATCTATTTTTATAATATGCCTTTCTCAAAATTCATTCCTACTTACTGGGGAATTTGTGGTCATGGCTGATCTCTAGTAGACGCTTTAGCTCTGTGTGGAAAAACAATAAAGATTATTAGTTCTGGTTCTGTTCAAGTATTTATTTATTGCTTGTTTGAATTGCTTGTTTTAAAGAAGACATGACACGTCCAACAAATTTCACAGTTGAAGATGGGAACCACTCAAATAAATAAAAAGGACTCCAACACTTCAAGACCACACAACGCCTTGCCTTACAAAATTAAAAATATTGATAGGTATAGCTAAACTCAATACCTCTTCACACACAACATTATTATACAATCATTTGGTGGCTCAGTGTTTTATCACAGAGCATTTGAGATTTTTGAAAAGATAATTTGTCCTTTTGCAAGTCCTCCTTTGAGGGGCATTGGGAGGCTCCAAAAATGTCACACAATTCATGAATCACCCCTAACCATGACGTACCTTCTTCATCTAAGTTATAGCTAGCAGAAATGCCATCTGTGTCCGTGACAACACAAGAGTAAATGCCCAGATCTTCAGTTGATGGATCATTAAAGATAACTCTTGACCTTAAAAAAACACAGTAAAATATGGCATTAAATATATATTTATTTCCATAAGCATATTATTTTTCATTATTCATACTTGTGACATTTGCCCTTCCAAAATTACACATAATGAGAATGTTTTATTTCATGTGTGTACATGTATGGGCTGTGCTTGGGTCAGCAATATTTTTTATTTGTGAGATGAGTAGTATATTGCATATTATATCTTTATTATTATTGTTTCAAAAGTAACTTGTACATACTAAGTAACTGTACTGTACAGTGCTTAGCATGAAATTATATTACTGTAATGGGAACTTGACTATCTAAAACGTGAAGGTAACCAACCAGCACAGCCGCTGGTTTCACTGACATGATTCACTGGTGAATTGTCCATTATTCATTATAATGTTGCTTAATTCTTTTGGCCATGAGAGAAAGGAATAAGCTGTGTCTTTCAGTCATTGTGAAGTAATGCCAGTAACACACACCATTTACCTGCCACCTTTGGTCTCTACAGTAAGGCGGGACAAGTCAGAAAGTCCTTCATAATTCTTGGACCACACAAATTTAGATTCTGCGGTCATCTCAGAACATTCATAAATCAGCGAAATCACACCATCATCATCAACGTCCACGACCACCTCCTTGGTACCTGAAAGATAACGAGGCTTGTCATATTAGAATGGAAAAGTAAACCTCTTATTTCATGCTTTAGTCAGTTCTCCCTTATTTGTTTTCACTTATTGTCTGTTATGGGATCATCTGGCAAGCACCTAATGTAGCTTTTGAGGTCAACTCATTTTTTACTCTTGCCTCCATCTTGCGATTTGCTTGCAGACAGCTGGGAGAGATCCTCTATAACGTTTGAGTGACATTCACTCCTTGTTGCTTCGCAGCCAAGAAATCTTTCTCCCCCACTACTTCAACAGCCATAATTCAAATGGTGTAAAATTCACAATTCCCTGTTATCTAAAGTCATCCCTCATAAAACAGGACTCCTAGCCCCCTGATGCAGTGAGCTTCAGTGCCTGATTTTCTGATTGGTTTTGAGGGATGGGCACTTTGCTGGAACATATGAAGTATAAGGCATGCTTCAGACTTGCTTTATGCTAGGCAGCCTGGCTAATATACTTCAGCCAGTGTTTCAGTGTTTCACATTCTCCTGATTGGATTAAATGATGCAGCGTGAGTGCAGTTGGGCTCTAGTTTTGTATTGCCATCTCAGGCATACCTTTCTGTCTGTGCCTTTCATCACAAGGATCATCATACGTGCTGCACTAAAAATACAACACCCCTGGCATGAGGGATTCCAGTACCCTTTATAAACCGGGGAAGCAAAGTAACAGGAACGCAAAGAATAAAAATCATACCTGGACGAGTCTCAGCTAAAACTGGCTCGGTCGCATCAGAGGGCTTCCCAACCCCTGCCCTGTTCTGCGCCCTCACACGGAACACATAGGTAGTGCCTTCCTTCAGGTCTTTAATCTGTCGAAGAAGAAAAAAACAGGTTTTAACTGGAGCGTCCTTATGCAAACTGTTGGGATAACAAAAAGCTCTTGTAACAGGTTTGGGGGTTGGTGACAAGGAGTGGTTATTTCCCCTTTACGAGCCATCCTAGTGTAGCAGGAAGCAAAGAGGAGCTGGAGTGGTACAAGTGCACTAAGATGATCAACTGAAATAGCAACATGCAACATGCAAGGAGCTCTGTGAAAATGGAACCCTGAAGTGTTGATAACTTTAGGGTTGCATTAACATAACCTGAAATGCATTAAACTAAAAGTCCTCAGGGATACGATATAACCACCTTCGACCTTCAAGCTAGTCTCTAAGTATTTCTCTTTAACAGGCTCACTCCAGAAACGATGCCTACCTTTATGTATTTATTCTGAATTGCCTTCTCATTGACACTTCTCCAGTGCTCTTCCCCAGCATGTTCCTCTTTGATGTCTACGTAGAACCCATTGACCTCGCTGCGGCCCTGGTACACTGGCGGGTTCCACAGCAGCACCAGTGAGTCCCTGCGCACCTCTGTGATTCTCAGCTCATAGGGGGGTCCTACACAGCAGGGGTGAGAAATGATTGATAGGCACAGCACAGCATTCACAGAACCAAGGTACTAGCCAGTCATGAGGTGAGGGAGGCATGAGCAAAATTAAGAAGATAAAGGCAACATGGTGGTGCAGTGGCTAGCATTGCTGCCTCTCAGAACTGGGGCCTTGTGTTTAATACCAGGGGCACTGTCTGTGTGTGTTTGTTTTCCCTGTGTTCTCGTGGGTTTCCTCCAGGTGTCCAAAGACATTTGGGAAAACTGGCCCTGGTGTAAGGGTGTGCATGTCTATGTTTGTGTCTGTGTGTCTGCCCAGTGGTGTCTAGGGTGTGTCCTGCCTTGTGCCCACTGTTAGGCAGAATAGACTCCAGCACCTAGAATTACATGTAAGTAATTTCATCATTGCTGTTTTGCACTGTCTAGAATCTAAAAATGTTTAAACAAAAAAATGTGTCTGAGTGCTGGTCAAAGAATCCCACCCAACCCTTGGTGACACTCAGCTAATTGTGCAAAGGTGCCTGGGGAAACCCAGTCACAGTTGCCTAGTGGCATCACCTAGGCTCAAACCCACAAAGAAATTATCTCTTCCCGATTCGAGCTGAGAAGTCATTTCCTGCCCCAGCTGTGACTGACATTAAAATGGTGAATTCTGACGAAATGAGCTCTGACCCCAGTTTCAGTGCTCCTCAGAGCTGGAGTCTGTACTGAATGCTAGATGCTCACCTGGCACAGCAATGGTCCACTCCTCACACTTGAAGGAGTTGCTGGGCTTGGACGGCACACCCACTCCGGCCACATTTGCAGCCCGTACCTGGAACTGGTAGATTCTGTTCTCCTTCAGGTCATTAACCTGGAGCACACAGACAGAAGGAGCACTGTGGGTATGTTCACAGCTGATTGATAGCCAGAACGACCTTCAGGAGGTGTAATTTGGAACCCCCCTAAGCAACACAAAATTCAGCCTTCTCAATGTTGCAATGAGAAATATGTGGTGATGCCAAACAAAAGTACAGTAAGTGCATTATTTTGCATGTTGTAAGCCTGAGCTAGTTAGAATGTAGCACCTCAAATGAGACAGGTAACTCCATTAGCAAAGAAACAGAATGAGAAAAATGCTAAAACAAGGATTTGGACATTTTTAATCTTTACTCTCTGCTCACTACTCGTCGGTGCTCCAGTTTTAAGGCCTTGAAATATAACTCAGCTGGTTAAGTATACAAGAAAACTCATTTTCCTTATTAATTCTAGGGGATAAATGTGCCCCAAAAGTTCTTATATTGATAATCATTGAGTAATAAATTCAATTCATTAATTGCAATTTCCTTGTATGCACATTTTGGTGGAGTAATTGTTTTACAAGTTTACATCTCCTCGTTTCCTTTTAAACAATCAACAAAGAAAGGGGGAAGAAAACGGCTTCTTACCCTGTAGGCTCTTTCACTGACGGCCTTTATGTTTGCCTCGTGCCACTTTCCTGGCACTCCGTCGACAACCTCGCGGTAATCCACAAAGTAGCCAATAATCTCTGCTCCGCCAATAAACTTGGGCTGCTTCCAGCCGAGGACCATGGAGTCCTGCACGCTCTCAAGGACAGTGATTCCATAGGGCGGAGCCGGAGAGGCTGATTCAGGAAAGAGTGGGCGTTACAATCTGATAGGCACGCACTGTCTGCTCTGAGCTGTGAGATTCAAAACAACACACCTGCACAGTATATTATCATTTTACAAAGGCGACAAAGGGGGCTGCTCTGAAGTAAAAGTTTCCACATGACTCAACAGGGAGAATGACTTAGTCCATAAAGTAACATAATAGAATTCTATCATTAATTAATTCTGCAAATATTTATATTTTCTGGTGTGCCTCTTGAGTGGTGGGAGGTTAAAACATGTCAGACATCTGTTTTTCGGCAGTGTGGATCCTTTTTCCATCTTTAAAAGTACCAGCTTCTTCAGAACAAGCCCGTATATATTTTTGACGTTCACAGTACAATTCTAAACACCTTCAAAGCTCTTGTTAAGTTAAAATGATGGGTTTTTTCTTTCACTCTGTGGCAGTGCTTAACAGCAATTGTGGAAATGCCATCACTCTGCGGTGACTGCTGTGTGTTAAAAATCACTGTAAACCCTAGCTTTAAAAACTCAGTCTAGAATAGCAGCATAGAGGTGTAATGATTTCATGAAAAGACTGAAATTGACTGTTCTGGACCAGAGGTCAACTTCAAGCTTCTATACATGATACTGACACCAAACATGTCTACAGTAAATTAGAACAGCCTTTTTGTATTCTTATTTATCTCAAGCAGCAGTAAATTATGAGGTAGAAAATGGGAACCCATCTATCACTTTTCTAACCACTTCTGGAGCCTATCCCAGCAAGCAACAGGCACAAGGCAAGATACACTCTGGACACACTGACACAGACATCCACACATTTACACCAGGGCCAATTTTCCCAGAAGTTAATTAACCAACAAGTATGTCTTTTGGGCTTTGGAACCAGAGCACCTGGCGAAAACCCACTGGGCAAAACATACAAACTCCACACAGATAGCACCCCAAGTATGGAATTGAGCCCAGGGCCCAGAGCTGCAAGGCACCAATGCCAGCCTCTGTGTCACAATGCCATATGGGTAACCATCCACTACATTCTACGCTAGACTGGTGATCATTATTTCCTTGGTTTAATCCTGGTTGCTAAAGCAGATACCAGGCCAAGAACATGTATTAACACTTAGCTTCCCACTCTCTGCTCTGAATGAACACATACAGTAAGTCATTGCACTCTCCATTTATCAGTTTGCCAATAATGTCAAAAACTTACCTTTGCTTTAGTAACACAAACTTATCAAACTTCATTTTTCCCCACATTGCATCTTATGTCCATATTATTGCACTCATGTAGATGAAGGAGCTGCAGTTGGTAATTTTACCTGCAGCTTTACATACAGTAGTTTTTACACTTACCTGTATAGTAAACAAGCAAACTATAAAGTTGAAAATATTGGCCACCTGAGTTCTAAGACATCATTATACCTCTAATTTATGAACATATTTGTGTACTCAAGTTACTTTTATCTCTTCTTCCCTCTGTGATTAGCCATCTGCAGACTAAGGGCAACAAAGGATCAGTTTCCCCTGTTTATTTAACAACATCCATGCCACAAACAAAGAAACCCCATCTCAACGGATTTATCAGTAATATTTTCTAATTACTGCACAGCAGGTCATGGCTTTTTCCTAGAGTGTCAACTTAAAGATCCATTCTATAATGATGACTTTTGCCAACAGGCTCCCTTACCTCTACACAAATACAATGGGTTCTATCAGATTTTAAAGCGACACAAAATTCATCTCTCTTGTTCAGCTACACATAAAGTACACTGACTGACCTCTCAGTAGTCAATGTTTTCTGAGGTAAAGCACAATTCACTGGACTGTTCTGCAGGTTCTGCAGGCTATGAACCTAATTCATAAAGCACTTCTTGCTACACTACTTTTATGGTAGTTTTTTTATAAAATAGGAAAATTATAGTCCTAATATTACAATACGTCAAATACATAAAAGAAAAGATATTTGCTTTATCTGTTAAATTTGCAGCATTAAAGATTTCATTAAAGACAACCCTGGTTGTGTCACTGAAAGCTGAGTGAGCCGAATAATCCCACGCTGCTTAGCAAAAGTCGGCCACAGTCTGGTAGTACCACGACTCAGGCTCAAACCATGATCATAGAGCTAGACCAAGATTCAGGAGAGTGCATTAATCATTTGGCCTACAACCAGCCTCTAATGAAGATTAACAGGTATGGGGGACCTGTTTATCATGATCAGAAAAGTTTGGGCCTAGCATTGTAACTATGCCAGGAGGATCAAGCTGGAAAACTGTAGCTGAGCATCAAACATCTGCTTCTATACTGACTGCATGCAGGGATAGTAAGGGGCAATATATTGCTAATGTTTCTTTCAAAAAGCTACACATGCCAAAGCAATGCTGTAGTAGTAGAATAAACATATTAGTAATTGCAAGTAGGAAGATTTGGTCCCTTGATTTGATAAAACTTCCATCTACCAAAGCAAGTTAACACAGGGGTCCGATTTCTGTTTTGTTTCTGACATCTCAGATTAATTTTTCTGCCCCCTGATTTGCAATGTGTTTTTGTTCAGCTTTGCATGAATCAGTGGGCTAGCCTTGTACACCACTCATGATTCTGAAACATCAGGCTCATCACCGCACCATCTTTGCTTCCATTAAAGAGTTAGGAAACATCGGTAGACACTTACTGGTACCTGCAGTACTAACCCAACGAAAGGATTTTCAGAAAGGATTTCTCGAGTTACAAGCAATTAGTTTAGCTGTCACGGATTGCAATTACTGAACAAAAAATGGAAGATTTTCAAAAGTTTAGTTACGTTTTGATTGAGGGTTTGGCCTCATCTTTGAAACTCTCACCTGATGATTGTCTCCGCTGCTTCGTTTTCTCCTGTGAGGATGAACCATCCAGAGGGGACTTACGTGTCTGCTGAGTAGCTACTTTCTGCTGTGAGCTGATACTCTTAGTTCCTTTGCCCTTACTTACTTTGGACTCTGGCACTACAGAGTCAGAGCTAGGGGTCAGCGTGTGCCTGTCAACCTGAGCTTCGCTTTTTAGACAGGTGTCAAGGCCAGGCTGGGAGGCCTCATGCTTGCCTGCCCAGTAAGGTGCGTGCTCGGTTAGTCCACCATTTTTATCACCCGTTTCAGGCCACACACCATGAGGAGTGCCTCCCCCTAGAGTTAGCAAAGAACAGTAAAGAGCATTTTCAGGTGCAAATTCAAACATCAGTAAAATAATTCAATAAATAAAGAAATTAAGCATGTTTAAGAACCTCTTCATATTTTTTTTTCCTTTTAGCAAAAAAAAAATGAAGACAAGATGAAACGGCAACATCTGAATGGACACACACGCAAGCCTTTTTAGTTAGATAGCACACACTTTAAGCTTTGGACCTTAATGAAAATGCCACGGTATGCCATGGTAATGAGGCATTAAATGTACATGAGGCATTTCTCTACACTGTGCCAGTGTGATGTGCTTTGACAGCTTATTAACCTTTGTCAAAGGCGTGTATCGTTCTACATGGTGTACTACACAAAGTGCCTCAGGACAAATGTGATAATTATGGCCTACCTGATTGATTATTAAATAAACTGTGAACGGTTCAATGAAGGAGAAAACAGTTTGAGCCTGAGAATACGAATGCATTTTAAACAAAGTTTTATAAGAGCACTAACAGGCTCTTTTGTTAGATGTACCGTAAGCCAAGTGCTTATAAGATTTTATTGGTAGTGTTTACAAATAAGATCACTATGTGAGTGAGATGCATTTTTGGCAATATGAAGCAAAATGTATCCGTGTATTCTCCATCATATTAGATTTGCTTCTTGAGACAAACACAGACTAATAATTTTGGTAAAAAATAACTGGCAAAAAAATAAGATAATGAAAATTCTGAAAAATAGTTGCTGATCATCTTAGTGTACCATAGAATTGTTTGTTGCTATAGAATAACAAGAGGAAGAAAATCCCATTGGCTGCCTTACCAAGGGTGTTTCAATTAGGGGGAACAACGCATACAAACACTGAAATGACTGGAATAGACATAAACACAGATTTAATTGTTGCGTCATGAGGCATGCTCAAATCACAGGAATCAAGATGTTAGGAGAGGTAGTTTTGCCATGGACTGCAGGAGTATCCCTAATCTTATTGAAACCTTTCTGTTTGATTTGGTAATTTTATCTTGACTGGCCTGAAAAAAATAAGAAGATAATTTCTAGAAGTTTGAAAAGTATTGTTTTTTCTATTTTGTGAGAAGAAAATACACATATGATTTTAAATGTATGATTCTGTAAATGTAAAAGACCAAACAGTTTATCTTTTAGTAAAAGCATTAATTTAGGTGTTATAATAAAGTAAGAGAAACTAGAGAAACTGTAAATCTTTTCTAAATACTTGGAGTTCTTTACATTTTCTAATGTCAGATTCAATGCCCCTGAACAAATCAGTTATTTAGAACCATTACAATATAAAAAACTACAATGAAGCTGAAAGATACAAACAAGGTAATCAGATTGTTTTCATTCATTTAAAGATCTTCTAATTATGTGTGAAATCTTAGTTGTATTACAATTAACTTAAAAAAAATAGCTGTAATGTATATCATATTTGTACTTGCTTGAATAGTGAAAGATACATCTTATTTGTTGTCCTTATTTTATCCTGCCCTTAACTGTAAACTTATGAGATGGAACCTGGGCTCAGTTGTGTTCTTCAAATGTTGTACAACTATGATAAGCATCTCATCTTTGCTGTAGTGGTGCTAATATTACTTGCCAGTACATACTGTACTTGTCCCAGTTGGTTAAATCAGACAGATCCATTTGCATTTGGATGCATGTTAGCAACACCAGTGAATGTTAGCAGTCAAGCATGAGGAAGTACTGGAAGGAGACACCATGCACAGGTATGGCTGTCGGTGGTACCTCAGACACTGGAGAGAGACTGTCAGGTCATTCTCCCCAGAGGGAAGTAGGGGGGGGTGACAGAGTATCATGACGGCTGGTTTGTAACCTCATAACGGATCATAATGACCCAGGCCAGAGGAGGATTACAAGAGCTTTACCACTGTGAGGGGGAGGAGGGGCGGTGGGTCTTGGTTTTGTTACTACAGTGGAGAACGATGTGGACAGTGACACAGGGACTCATGATAGAAAGCTGGTGGAAATAGAGATGCTGATGGCACACAGAACTGAAAAAAACACCTGTCTGAAAACAACACAGAGCACTTTGAAGAAAACTGAAGCTACAATACGTTGTTTTGACCAGCAGGCCATTCCAGGACATTTGTTCCATCACCAACATCTCTTACATTAGGCCACAGGTCTGTCGTGAAAACAGTTAAACAAATGCAAGTTTTGCTAAATGTAAATGACAAAATAAATACTGTATAAACCACCCAGAAAAAAATGATATGATAACCATTTTCAAGACTTACCTTCCTATCCAAAACACTAACAGAGTGCACTGTGAGAGTATATAACCTAATGGAAAGCAGTATCTAACATTTTGAAAGTGAATTGAAAACAAATATTAAATGTCTTTCAGAAGGCAATTCTTGAAAAAGTGATGTTGTGGGTGCCACAAATATCACTTTTTTTGTTCAAAACTAACTTTTATATAGAAACTGACAAACGTTTGAAATTGCTATCTATAGTCTTGTGCCTTTACTCACCAATTGCAGCCTTGACTTCGATGGCCTCTGACTCCTGGGAGAACTGGCTGAGCCCAGCAGCATTCACAGCTCGCACCCTGAGCACATACATCTGTCCCGTGGAGAGGCCATGACAAATAAACCTGGTCACAGAACATTGATCTGTGTTTCAAATGAGTCTCCACTGCTTTGAAATGAGTTCAAAGTTCTGTTTATTATTCTATTGTTATTATGTATCATCACATAACGTATAATTGTATGTTACTAGTAATAAGATGTTATTATGTACAGTGTACATTTTATTATATATTATAAGCATAGCCTTGTCATACCTTTGTTTAGTGCGATGGACGGGGAAAACAGAATTTGGTCAAATCTGTGGTATATTTAAGATGTCTTTTCTTTATTGGAATGTGCATTAACGGACCAACACAACACAGGGGTCCTCGAACTAGCATTTGAGTCAACAGAGTTGCAGAAAAGCAAACAAGGTCAGAACGTTTAACCTGACATAACTAAATATAATTCATACTTGGTTTTCCCCAGAGGTAATTTGAACTAAAAAATGACAACAGTCTGTGATAGGGAAAGTTACTTTTATAAAATAATCATCCGTTAGAGTACAGGTTTGAGACACGTGTGTAAGGGGTTAATGTTTGAAATGAGCAGGAGGTTGCAGGAAAAGTGTAAAAAAGGCAGGAGCCGAGAGTACCTCTTTCCTTTGACGGGTTTGTTGTTGCAGGGCTCCCACACTCCGGACCCCACGATGGAAGCCTCAATGTAGTATCCCACCAGCTCCTTTGCCCCCTTGGATTCTTCCCAGGACACCACTACAGACGTGTCGGTGTTCCTTGTCGGCAACACACGGCCAGGAGCAGGGGGAATGTCTGTTTGGACATGATTAAAAGGCAAAGGATGAATTACAGTCACTGACAAAAGGTATACAACTTTTTATGCTTGAATGTTTACATTTACCAATTCATTCTAATGATAAGCTGTAAAAGATTCATGTGAATTCCCCTGGAATTTATCCAGGAGATGGTCATAGTTATACCCGCATCTTTATAAATACACTTTTGCTTTTTTCCACCCCTTGTTCTTAAAACACACTGAGCTTTTACCGTGTCAAAACGTAGAAGAGACAACCCATGAATTTTACAGCTGTAGGAGTTTCAGAACGACTAGCATAGTCACATATCAGCGCAACCGTATAACTTTGCCCTTCAGGAAGTCATGATCCCTTCAGTCATGAACGTCTTCAGGTTGCTCACCCAGCTTGTCTCCCACGATGGTGGCTTCTGTGGGTTCAGACGGCTCTCCTACCCCAGCCGAATTGCAGCACCGGACACGGAAACAGTAGGACTTGCCCTCAGCCAGGTCAAAAAGAGCAAACCGGGGCGACTTCACCGGGATCTCCGTGTTGACCCTCTGCCAGCTGTCCGTCCCCGCCACACACTGCAGAGAACCGTAGTGTTAATATATACCTTAAGACACACGAGCAAACACAGAGCAAAATACTGAAATAGCACGTTACAGTAAAATAGCTCAAAGGAGAATGAGGTAAATATAGCGAAAGTATAATAAACAAGAGTGAGAAGGAGAATTAAGACATAGCGCACATCAAAAGCAGGCTACACAGACTTCTAAAAGAGTGTCAGAAGAAGGGCATGTCAAACTCACCTTTTCTACATAATACATGATTCCCTCATGGCCCCTCTGACCAGGTGGCTTCCAGCTCAGCACCACATAGTTTCTGGTCGCCTCGGTAACAGCCAAGTCACGAGGCTTGCCTGGCACAACCCCCTCTGGAGAGGCAGAGGAGCCGGAGGTCAGAGGACTCAATCTAGCACTTCAAGTGTGGGCACATGTCCAAGTCATTATTGGGCACACCTTTGCCTTCTCTTTTTGTCCGCTTTTGCACAGTTTAACAATATTATGTCATTATTCACTGCATATACAGCACATCTTATCCCCAGCAAGCTAGAAGAAATCCAATATAACTCAAGAGCAGACACACATTTAGCTAAACAAAATATTCCTTTAATTAATTAACATGCAGTATGCATTGTTTGCGTTTTTACCTGCTGGTTCCTCTTCAGTTACTATAATCTGTCCAGTCCAAGGTGCTGAAGGGTGACCTTAGTAATAGGAAGTGAATAGCAAGTTAAATTACAAAGCATTTCATTTTACACTTTAAATAGGAAGTGACTGTTATATGAATAAAACCATCCAAAGTTACTCCCTGATAATGTTCTTGCTGAAAGAGCACAAACTTCTAGAAGTGTTTGTGCGCTGTGGAGCAAAATTGTCACTTCAGTGTTGTTTGGTCACACATTTATAGGCAATGTGAATGTGAGAGATTTTTTTGTGCGACAATTTAATACATAAAGGTTAAATTTCATTGAGAAAGAAAAAATTAAAACGACTTCTAGGGCTCTAACACAATGAGATGCATTCTATATAGAACAGGAGAAGGAATATCATATGGCAAGTTACAGGGTTTTGCCTGTGTTCTGGCAATACATAAAAATCTGCATGTCCCACTTTGTAGAACTAGCCTAGCACTTCATATCAGTTAAAACATGTCTAGTCTACAGATCCTGTTACTTTTATCCTGTATCCTGTTACTTTTATTAGGAACGTTCAATGTAGTACTGTAGATTACACCCATGTGGGTGCGGACAAGTGCTTCTTAAGTGTCTTGTCCGTCAGTAGAAGTACACCTCAAAGCCCTTTCTTCACCTTCCAGAGCAGCAAGACGACAAGAGCATTTTCCCACCTTTCATTCTCGCCTTGTCAGCAGGGTCCAGTGCGGCCACAGGCTCAGACACCCGCGAGGTCCTGCTGATGCCAGCCTTGTTGACGGCCCGCACCCGGAACACGTAGGAGCGCCCTTCCACCAGTCCCGTCACAGGGAACCGGGCAAACTTGACAGGGGTGTCGTTGCACTGGCTCCAGTGTGTGGTGCCCACCTCACACCTGCATATGGCACACACCCATCGGCACTGTTAAACAATAGTTTGTCCATCCATCCATTTTCTAAGCACTTTCTCCAATACAAGTTTGCAGGGGAGCCGGAGCCTTTCTCGGCAAGCAATGGGCACAAGACAGGAAACGCCCTGGACAGGGACGCCAGTCCATCAACCGGGCACACACAGACACAAACACAGACATGCACACACTCAGATCACTGCCAATTTTTCCCAGAAGCCTATTAATGTACCAGCAAGTTTTTTAACTGTGGGAGGAAACCCATGAGAACAAGGGAAGAACATATAAACTTCATTCAATCCATAATGATACATTTACTTCAGTGAAAAAAATCACTTGTGGGTAATTTGTTGTTTTGTTCCAGTAGATACGCAAACTGCTCAAAACACCTTTAAATGCAGTTAAACGTATTCTTGCCTCTGATGATTTATTCTTGTCATGTATTAGACATCTGACAGAGAAGTTAAGGCCTACGTAAATGTCTTCTAAGAGAGTTGTTGATAGGCTGACTTCTTTGCTCCGTGTGACGCGGAAACAGAGGAGTTTGTGTGTCTGTCAATGCACATCTCCCTCTGTCTCTGTCCATTACAGCAGGAAGAACTCAACAAAAGTGGGTGCTGTTTCATGGGCATCAGAGAACTCCTCAGGTCACTTTTGACTACCAAGTCTTCATTACCCTTAGATATGTGCAATCATGTGATCTGTGACTGGAATAGCCAAGCAATATTTATCACACTGAGTGAGAAATTCACAAAACTTTTGAAATTACAGCAGCTGGTGGATACCTCTGTCAAAATGGTTTGGGGTTTGACTCTGGTTTTGGGCAATTAATAGATATTTAGAAAATGTAGACAGTTAGAAAGAATCAGCATTGATGATTTACTTTTATTGCAGTTTGAAATGTAAATGTCAAAACCTCTAATTTAAATAAAGTTAGAAAGAAGCAGCACTGATGATTACATTTCAAACTGCAATAAAAGTAAAATGTAAAACCTCTAATTTAAATAAAAAACTAGACAAAATTTCCATGTACAGTATGCACAGCACCGTGTTCTATGATTCAGAACGAGGCAACAAAATGTCCGGTGATGTGTGCAGTCCTATGACATTGTAAAGAAGCAGGCTTGTGAATACAATACACCTTCTTTAATTCAATATTGCTTTTGGGATATTTTGAGATGGTTTTGGCGACTTATATTACTTACTTGTTAACTCTGCATGCAGGTCACTGTTGGAACATTTCTGCTGTGAAACATCCGCTGTACAACCTCTTACCTCGCATTACTTTAGTCATTACAGAGACTAGTGAGCGGGAAGGGCCGCATCACGTCGCAATTCGGGGGAACTCGAATGTGAGTTTGTGACAACATGGCGACTTACAGTATTTTCACAAAGTTGACAATTTCGTGCTTAATTCAAAATTTGTCCTTTTTTTCCCCTGCAACGTCAATGAATATATTTTGTAACGGAGATTTAATAACCGGTCTGAGAAATTAGGACTGCAGTTCCCCTTTAAAACACCTCTGCAAATAGAGTAATGCTTTCAGACAAATAAGCTACAGCCTTCCTCTGTCTAAGCTAGATGATTAATGTATGAGGAATCGCTTTCTCATATGGAATGGAAGGTTGACGGCAGTCTTGTTCATTCTAGCCCTTCTGAAATATGAGGCCTAAGAACAGAAAGATGCTTTTGCAAACTACAGCAGGATTGGAAGAGAGATCAGCGGAGGCTGACCTGTCGATAAAGTATCCAAGGATGGGACTGCCTCCATCCACAGCCGGCTGCTTCCAGGTGACAATGACATAATCCTTGTTGGCGTCTTGGCATTCCACGTCCAGGGGTGCGGCTGGAGCCCCCGCGACCTCGGCATCCGCATCTGACACACAAGCGAAACATTAACACGCCAGCCAGGGTATAAATAGAAAGGCATGCTATGCTATCACTGCCTCAGGCTCCAGAAATGATTTTGTGCCTCCAAAAGATTTCCAGTCCATGGGATCTTCAGGATCATTGATCTCCCTAAGAAAGAAGTCACGTGTTTCCAATAATTTTCTAATAGTTTCCTAAAAGCATTTTCATGTTACCATTTACATGGAGAAATCAATATGCCCAACGTTCGCAATCGTGTGGCTGCAGGTAGTGAAAGTCTCCCAATCAATCTTGCCCTTCAGTGCACAACCCGATTCCCCGTCTATCTCTCAGTTTGGATTTTGTCAGTCTTTCCTTGCATTTGTGGCCTGCCTCAGTTCTGCTGAACTCTGCAAAGTCGCACGATTCTGAGCCAAGAATGCTACTGGTCTTTGGGTTAAGGTTACACCCCTTAAGCGGCCTTTGGCAATTGGGACAGATATAGAAGCAGCATGCTGTATTTCAATGAAATCCGATAGGAAAGGTGCCTCTTAAAGAAACAGGCTGAAGAACATCATGGAGGCAGCAGGCACAGAGCCCTGATACTGACTCTGAACATTCTTTTGCCTATTGTGTCAAGCATTGTGTGTCGCACATGTCTTGCATATGCCACCCTTAGCAGCATGCTTTGTATTGGCTTATAAGGTAAGCTTTGTAGCCATCATGCTTAGGGACAGCACACTACAAAATAGCTATGCTATCTTTCCAGCTGCTTCATTGACTGTTTATTAATAAGCTTAATGATACAAGGTGGCTTTCAGGACATATTTGGATATCACACTTGTAAAAAGCTTATGGTATACAAAAATTTTGCAACTTTGTTCTCATTTCCTCAAACTCAGAAACAATAACTGTAATTATCAGACTGAATATTAACAGCAAAGCAGTATCAGTGGATCCCCATGTCAAGAGCTTTAATGTATTAAATTGCCTTTTTTAATAGAAATGCAAGCCCTTTCACACAGATGTAACATACAAAACAGACTAATCCGGGAAAAGTGATAGAGATGAATTTTACATCATTTGCATTTTCATATCTTAACTTGTACCTGATTGATGCTCTTTATCTACCAAATACCTACTTTGATGTCTACATCAGGAAATTCATCTGAAATAATAATAATAACATGAAATGCTGAACTATCAGGGAATAATTGGTGGAATCAAATCATTCAATTTCTAGACAATTCACAATGCATCACTGGTACAGTTTAGAAAAGGTCAATGATGCAGGTATGAGTCTAAGCACAAACAACCATGAAGAATAAAACGAAACCCTGGAAACAGAAACTAAAATAAAAGTGAACACAAAGCTGAGATGTGTGTAAATGTTGTAATAAAAGAGCTTTCCTTAATGATAAAAAAGATCCCAAAAATATCTGACTTTTTCATTCCTATTCATTAAAACAGTTTTCATTGTTGTGTTTTTCCTACAGACTTTTGTCTCCAGCTACAGAACTCCAGAGTGCAACTCAGAGTGATAACTCCTTAGTTATCAGTGGCTGAATCACAGGTGGAGATTAATATCCCCGCTTGAAAAACTGCCAGGCAAGGAGATACCATACATGACTATTTTAAAACACAGCTCTTTGAAAATCTGTTGTGGCTGTCGTTGTGGCCCTTAGTGAGAAACATCTGCAATCAGCCTGTCATCCATTATGCAGATGAAAGCAGTGTGAATGTGTGTCCACACATGGGGAGTCACACATCAGAACCCCTCCCCTCAAAACAACCAGAAGTGACCCCTTTAGTGAAGTGGGTGTCCTGCCCCAAAGAATTTGGGATTTCATTTTTTCTTCATATCCAGATAGCAGATAACCTGGCTGGGTGATTTATAAACCATGCTGGGAAAAAGATGTTGTTTTTTGTTGAATCAATCCACCACCTGAAAAACATTTTTTTTCCCCAAAAAGAGCATCTAATGTCAATAAAAAGAAGAAAAAACTATCCCATGTTGAACTCTGTACTCTTTGAGTTGTACTACTGTATGTTGGCATTTTCAGTTTCAGTTATAAAAACAAAGAACTGACAGGATTACAGGGTCACAAGTGCCTTTTCATTATGTTTTCTCAGATCCATATTTCTTGCACAGAATTAAAAGGGGGTCATCCTTTGTAACCCTTGATGACAGGGATAAAAGTAAAGCCTTATAACAAAATAAAGACATTGTCCAGTTTAGGTCCTGCATGTCCCATCCCATGCAAGATTTATTGGCTAGTTCTGCTCAGCCTTAATTAAAACCCGGGAAACGATGTTTACTTTGACTGGTTAGGTATGCAGCTTCATCAGTTAATATAAAGGATGGTTTAGTTTTAAAAAACACACCTAAGATTGTTGCCCCTGTGGACTAGAGTTGGCCTGCATGTGAAATGAGACCCCTGCTGGTCTGAAAGGATTATGGCACATATGCCACCAACAATGGCCTTGTTTGCAGGCACAAATAAAGGAAAGGTGCTCTCTTTTTGCCACACTACTGCTGTCACTCCTGCTGGCGTGCAGAGTTCATATGTTGTTCTATCCTAGAAAGAGAGGATGTAACAATTTCTGCAACAGAAATGCAAGGGACCTAATGATAAAATGTGAAAGAGATATATAAAGGCAACTTAAGGCAGCCACACCATTCTGCCTAATAATACTACCCATGCCAGTCCCTCATTCTTTGGCACTTTACCAACTATATTTAACCTACATAAGCTTTAACTAAAGTTCAACAAATAAGTTAAGAGTCAAGGTGCTTAGGTTCATCTGCTGATTTACAGGGGGAATTAATCAGGCATTTCAGATCGGACAGTGTGTGTATCACCTGGCAAAGCCTTTCTTAGACGTTTCTTATATGTGGGACAAAGATTTTTTGCCCTGGCATTTTAGGGTTGCTAAATTTTGGCTTGTACTTTTTCTCAATGAGCATGCACAGAGGAAATGAGGAGTTTCTATATTCCATGTAGACTTAGCCAACAGAACAGTATATCTCCCAAACTGCAAACAGAAAACACCTTTAACAGAGACTCTGTGTGTCTGATTTGGAAGCAGGAGGCTGAACGATACACAGACAGAAAGCACTCACACCTTTAGATCAAAGACCGCTCATACCTAGGAATAGTTGTACATTGAAAGGCACAATTGCTGAAAGAAGTGTCTATCTGAAAAATAACACTGATGGTGTTTTTTAAACTCACCTCGAACAAACACGTAAGCAGAGTAGGTTTCGTAGCCTGACTTGGTGATAACGCGCATGGTGTACAGGCCCTCATCCTCTTTGTTGAGGTGAGTGAGCGTCAGTGAAGCTTGTTCCCCACTCCAGTGCATCTGCACCCATTTGGACGGATGAAGCAGGACATCTGAGTGAAAGATAGCAATGAAGAGAAAGTATTAGATAAAACACTCTACGTCACTCGTAATTAACTTATTGGAACTGCTGTGGACAAGTTTTCTCCTGACAAGGGATTTCCTCTAACTGTCAAGCACATATACAAAATCACATACAGAAAAAAACAGGGTGCTATACTGTAAATGTTTGAGATTAAATAAAATGGAAACAACAGAATTCTAAATTCATTATTCTGAGACCAAACCTTTGCTTCCTCCTACTTGCATGTCAAAAAACATTCTATACTTGATTAATTGCTCAGAAGGATGAAGTTTATGATGTTAACAGTGTGTGATTCAAAGGTTACTGTACAAAACCATGAAACCTGAAAGAAAATACAGCATCCAGTCATTTCTTCACCACTCTCTCCTATTCAGGAATAGTCCCACAAAGATCGCTCATGTTATTTACAGCTCACAGTGGCTAATCATGTTGATATCTATAAAATCCTATCAAAGAGAACTACAGTATATAACATATATTTTTATGTGTAGGTTTGATTTTTTCTAGAAATTGTCTTATTTTTTAAACATATTGTATGCAATTACTTAGAACTTCTTTCATTCAGTATCGGGAATCTGAATATGGCTGCTATCAGGCCATGCTTATTTGAACAACACATTGAAGTCAGATTTGCATTCAACTTATCCAAAGCAAGTGTCTCCAAACCTTAAAGAGGCTGAATTGAAAAATTTTATAAGCAAAAGAGGAATGAATTAAATAAGCCTAGAGACCAGTTTGAAGAGGCAATGGTTCTTACTTCTCCTGTTGTAGTTCGGCATGCAATGTGTCTAGAGGCCAAAACCTACCATCTCTGTACCACTGCACCTCCGGCTGAATGAGTTTCACAGTCGGGTACACTATGACCGTGCACCCCAAGCTCAAAGTCTCGCCCTCCCTGCCAAAGGACACCCCAAACTTGTCGACAATGTGGACATCAAACTTCACACCATATGCAGAGGAAAGGCCATCTAGAAAAATGCCAAGCCAAGAGAAACAAGGTAAGCTGGCATTATGTCAAGGCAAGTAAAAAGAATAGAATTCTCAACAGTAGGCTCAGCTCCACATAAAGAAATATTCCAAAAAGTTATATTAATTCTCAAATTACTTTTTGAGGGCACTGAATGAATTTGAGGAACTAAATTCATAGTATGCATCTTGGTTTTAACACATCATGAACACCATAAGATCTTTAGCTGTGTGTAATTCTGAACCCTTCAGTGATTAAAGAGCAGCCATGACTGACTACAGTCGGCAGAAGAACTGTGTAGGAGAAACGACACAGTGTCAGAATTTTAAGTATGAAGAAGAAAATGACAATACTCTTTCATTAAAGAATATAAACGTAAGATATATAGGTTTTATTTTTATTGTATGCCAATCAGAATTCAAAATATTTTTCTTGTATTTTCACTTTGACTAGTTCACTTTCACTTTCTTTTATTTCCATAATTACAAATAGTTTCAAAATAATGATTATGTTGAATATTATACCACACTGAATTTAGTTGGCTTTTGTGGTATTTCTAACTAAGTCTTGGGTTCTTGCTTTGTATATCATGGACAACCTCATCAGTTCCGACGAAAAAAGCCTGATTCACCATTTCTGCATGTTTCTATATTGTTAAAAATTAAAAAGCAAAACATTTGCAAAATTCATGACTTACATGGCGGAGGCTTTGGAACAGGAAGAGAATCATCAATTTCTCCTTTGTATCCTTAAAACATTAATAAAAAACATCTTAAGTGTACAGTATTTTACATAATTAAACAATAAAACATAATTAAGCCAAGTTAAACTAGATGCTTAACATTTGGTGTCTCTAAAGAAAGCAACCTGGTACATACAGTATTAAGATAATATCTGTATACCTGTCCCACAGTTAGAACAATTTTCTCTGATTTTGCTGTGCTTTCATTTGGTTTTATCATGCCTACACAGTGTCTTATTAAGATAATACCATGCAATAATAAAGGGACACACCTCTAAAATCTCAAATTGTGAGTAATATATAATTTATAATCTAGATATTGATAACAGCAGAACAATTCTGGGTGTGACGAAAATGAGGCAAATGTACCCATGCCAATAAATGTACAGTAATAGAAAAGACAGGGCATGAAAGAAAGGGAAATTAAAAGTATACAGTATGCTTTCAGAGAGAAACTGCATACTCTATGATCAAAGAACGGGCACAACATTTTTTCTGCTTCTTTCCAGACACTGGAAATGTTGCAGTCAGAGCAGAATGGAGATACAATATCCACAACTGTAGTACCCTCACACAGGACATAAACACTCATCCTAATCCTCAAGCACTGATAGTGTTCAAGATCACCACATTTATACAGGTAATGCTAACATTTCAGCTGTCCTTTCCTCTACTATTGTAGATTCTTTCATTTTCTATCATACTTGTAATAACACAGATATTGTCACAAGTAGGTATTTTCACATTTTTTTTATCTTTTTGTATTCAATGTGATCTCAAGTGCCAACCTATGGAGTCACAAAACTGTTATTATTCATTTCATTTATTACGGTTTCTAAAAGATTTAGAAGAGTATTCCCCCTCATTCCTGACCTGAATCTTGACATTTAACCTTTTTCCCTCCCATTTTTTGGAGCTAAAACAACCTGTCAAGAAGCTTGTGACTCAGTAGAATCAACCCATATATTTTTGTGATGTATATATATATTCCAAATTGGCATGGTGTGTGTATAACATTGGTTGTAAGTGAGTTAGATCTTTAATAATTTCAAATATAGATTTTTTTCATTTTTATGTATAACTGAACAGAACAAACAACCGAGTCACATTATTGTACCTGCACCAGAAGGAGAGTTGGCACACCTAAAACTATTAAAAAATCTTACTTTTCACCACTATTGAGGCGAAAGCAGAGAGTTCCCCCTTTGCATTCATTGCAGATGCACGATACTGTGCTGTGTCTTCAAAATCACATCTGAAACAAGAGACCAGAAAAAAGGACTGTAAGACTTCTCTAGTTTTTTTTAATAACACAGTGAAATTGAAATAGACTTTACTATGGAATTTGGTTGTACTGGTAGCATTAATATCCTTACATAAATATACAGGGCACTCCTTCAGCAGAAAAATATGGCTTTTTGTTATAACAAATGTTATACGTATAATTTCTTCTATTTGAAAACGATGACAGAAAGAATCATTAGTATGATAATGTTTATGTAAAAGGCCTCAATCAAATTTTAATTTATCACCAAAAATAAAATCAATATCGAAAAGATACCACTCAGATACTTCTTTATAATGCATGACTTGATTCTGAAGATAAAAGGGTCCCAGACAAAGCAGTAAATTACTAATTTGTTTTCTATTTCTTATTTTCTTGGTACAGAATGTTATATTTTCAGGTTCATACAAGAGATTTTGTTTCTTTACCAAAAATGGCAACAAATAAAAACCAAAACCAAAAAAGGGTCAACTGGATGACTACGACAGTACTACATGTTATATGGCAATATACGGCATGTCTTGATATTTCAACTTTTTAGCACACCATCACAGTCATCATATTGCTTTGCCATAATAGTTTATTCAGTAAAACACTAGCATTTTGCCTTTCTAGGTTTTGTTATGCTTTTATTCTACTATTCTGTTCTAAAGGTCATTCTGAAGGAAAGGACAGCTCCATACCAAAACATTTCCTCATCACAGCCATGAAAAAAAATAGGAAATGTGAACAGAAGTGCCTGCCCTTTATCTTAAGAGAATTCCTGCTGTGGTATTTTTAGATGCCCTCTTTATTATCTAAAGACAGACAGAGAAATGGTTCAGATCACATAACACACTTGACAGCCAGCTGCCTGTTGTACCTGCACACTGCAGTCTTTATCAAGGTGCTGACCCAGAAATTTACCACTGCTCTCAGACTGGTGCTTCAAAACCCCTATGTTCATACTAGTTCTCAGGAAAGGGCATAGCTAAACTATTAAGAACATGTTTGTTTTCCTTTTATTTTACAACAAGATCAAAAAAGTACTTTAAGCTGATTTGCAGCTGCCTCTAGAGGTTTTTTATAACAGAAGTTAAAAGCAGTACCAAACAGTGCAGCACCTCATAAAGGACTGTTAAATGTGGACTATTTTCAGGCTGGACTTTTGACTATTTAATACACCAATAAAATAAAAAAATGAGTTACAACAAAAGGTTTGAGTTTCATTCAACACTAGGAGTGCTTCCAGTTTAAAATTCCTTCTAAAAATGTGTAAGGGACATGAAATACACCTGTTGATCTCCATACCTGTTAATCTCAAGGGTGTGGACGTTGTATCTGCTTTCTATATTATACTTGCCAGGGTGGGCATAAACATCAATGGCCACATTGTTTTTATACCTGAATGTCCAGAAATTGGAGGAGGAGAGACAAGAGGAAATAAGAAGGAGAAGAGCAAGAACAGGTGATTTTGAGAAAACAAGCAGGAAAAGAAGCAGGAGATGCCATTGACAGAGGCCACAGAGACAGACACATAGTTGTGGTTTTCATCTGCCACATATTAGAAAATGAATAGTAGTTAAACATTGATTAACGTAGCCTCAACTACAGTATCTCAGGCTCAGACATATCATAAGACTGGCACAATCAGTCATGTTAGCTAGCAAGCCCTCTGGTGAGAGTCAGCTAAGATTCCTTATCATCTGCCCTGTGGGTTTAAACACAGTAACGCCTTCATCTAAAATGCTGCTCATAACAGCAAGCACTTAAGTTAACAGATCTACTCCTTATTGTCACAGGTTTCAATAGTAAACCCAAATCCATTTAATTTTTTGTGCATAAAAGCCAAAACCATAAGATTAAAACATCAATATAACACAGGTGCTTTTATTTCATAGAACCCCTAATCTACAAAGCAATTATTAAGACTTTGATTTGGTTACTGTGTTTTCCTTATGAATTTCTCTTCTTAATTCTCCATCATAATGCACATCAGAACACTAAAAAGCAGAACACCAATAAATTCTGAAAGTCTGAAAACCTTTGTGACACAAAATAATATTTTACTGGAAACAACTGGAGTTTATTTGGCGTTGAATCCTACCACTGAAATTAAATTTCAAACCCCATCCTGGGACAATAATACAATAGGAAACAGGAATGTTTCAAACCCATTGCAATAGAATGTTTAATTGCATTTACCTATATTACCTATATTAGCTCCAACCCAGTAATCCAGAGTTGAGTTGTAGTGCATTTTTAGCCCAGTGAAAATAACATACCTTTAAATAAGCCATAGACCACATCTTAGTATCCTAACTGCACTTTTATGCAAGATAACAACTATTTACTGTAAATATTGTAATTCCTTGTGGTACTGGCAGAAGAGGTTATGGGTGATAGTGACGGTGATAAAAGATGGTTGAAGAGGTTAAAGGTGCAGTAGTATATTAGAAATCCTCTGCATGCCTTTGATTCAAAAACACAACTAAACTGTATTCAGAATCGACTGTAAATGAGCTCTGACCACTAACATGGCTTAATTTCCTCACAAACTGACCCTCACAAACTGTACCATGTAATGTCGCTGTTGAGTTTAGGTTGTTTCTTTTTTAATTTTGGTACTGTCAATCATTTCTTATTTCATACCTACCCAATTCCGGGTAGAAAATACTAAAATCACCAAGTATTTTCGGACTCTGCCCTCATGTAATAACTCCTATACCCACTTGAGAGAGAAGGAGACTTGCTGACTTGCTCCTCAAACAAGGAATCTCACTGGTATAATCATTCATCATCTGAGACATCATATGACATCCACAGTGTCCATAGTGCCTTACTAAACGGACCAGCTGGAGGAGTGGAGCATCGCTCACAGAAGTCACTGCCAGCCTGCAGATGCTCGACAAATCTTAGGAACAGCTGTTTTCCAGATAGCTCAGAGATCCCTAGCCAATACATCCCAAACTTAATTCAGTAGCGCTCCAGGTGAGCACCTTTACTGGAGACATTGAGTATTCCCCTCGAGCCTACTTGTTCACCTGAACACTGCTGATTCATTGTCCATTTTGAGATACTGCGTGCTCAAGGCAGAGCTATCTGCTTTGTATTGGTAAGCATATTATTACACTAGGAATTAAGTGTAAAGATATCTAACGATCTTTCTGTTGACTTTAGTAAACTTTGCCCCTCATAAAGCCTACTGTAGGTCTACTAATAAAGCTTTGGAATATAGAGGCTTCCATGAAAAGCAGGATGGCCTGACTCTAAAACAAAACAAACAGGATGTCATAAATTAGGTCAATCTTTGACATTTCTAATGATTAAGTACTGTCATTTCCTAGTCTGTTGTACCAAAAGATGTTTAACTGTTGATGTTAAAAGATTCCAATTCTGGATTGGGACCCCAAACCAGAGGCAATAGTCAATCCTTCAAAAGATGACCATCTGGAAAAGAAACTTTATCTGATAACATCACAACCAATCACCAACAGCTGAATTTAAAAGATACAATACGATTCATTTTCGGTGTTCTGCTCTCTCAATAAAACCTCGACAACTTGACAACATAACCAACCAGGTGATTCCAACCACTGCTGTCTGAGACTTGGGACCTGAGTTTTCTTCAAGATGCCAAACTGACAGTGAGCCTACAGTAAGAATGCTCACACCTGAAAAAGGCTCCACAGCTCCACAGCTGAAACGTTGTGTTTTCTTCCTTCTCTTTTCAGCATGGAATAAACCTATTACTTGTTCATTTGCAGCCTACGCATGCTGACGCAGCTACCCACCTGAACTACGTGAGCCTACAGTATATGTAAACAGAATTCTGTCCACGTTTTCCTTGAAACAAGACAAATGTTGTGAAAGCTAGCCAATCCAGAAACTGATTTGGCTGTTTTTGTCAACAAGTCTGAAAATAAAATATATATTCAGTAACACAGCTCCTGTGGGAGTGAGAATTAAATTGCTCTAAAAATGTTACTGTTCCGATTACTAATAGGTTCAGTGAATTGAACCAATCACTTTGCATCAGTTTTAGAGGATGTATGATAACAAGGAAATATACACATTATATATATATATGTAGAACAAAAAACACAACGTATTGGACATTTGAAACCTTTGATTCAGTGGATCAAGGGCGCTTTCTCCACAATTCACTTACCAGGTAACCCGGGGGTCAGGCCAGCCAGAAACAGTGCAGTGCAACTTCACATTCTGTTTCTCCCACACTGTGTGAGATCGAGGCTTAATGACAAACTCAGGGGCATGCAGCAGGCTGTCTTCGTTAATCTTCTTGTGAAACTCTTCAGTCTCGTAGATCTAAAACAAAAAAAAACCCACCAGAGCTATTTAGATCATAATGGGTCTCTTTCATTTGTCTTCTACTGATAAGAATCATATGCTGACAACAGAATTAAACTGCTTTTCCCAAAGGCAGTGATCTGACAACTTAATGAGGTTTAGAATGAACTGACTTATGAGCACAGTCTCTTAGAAAGAAGTCAGTTTTCATTGCCACTCTGAGGAACAAAAGCAAGAAATTCTAATTCCTCACAAACAAGAGGATAAATATAAAAATATGGCAGACCCAGGTCAGGGTGCCATAACAGGGAGCTTTCATAATTGGGTTTTGCAAAAACACACACAATTTATCTAGCTCTCTTTTTAGAGCTCGAACTATACTTATCTGGATGTCTTGCAGTATCTAGGCAGTTAAGGTGTTTACCAGCATCAACAACAGTTTCTCTTACAAACTGTTTCACTTAAAAAATCAAAATAACTCAAAGTTCAGAGTCTTGTGAGAGCAGAGGTCAATGACAAAATTAATCCTCTGCTTCCATGTCTTAACGTCTCTAGCACTCTACCAGTTTGTCAGGTGATGGAGGATGGCAGGTGATTCTCCACTGCTTACTGGGAATGTCATTCAGACTGGAATCTTTTCTGAACCAAATGCCTTCTTACATAAGGTTACATTAAATAATGGCAGCATTTTTAGAGATGTCCAGTGATTTGATTATTATTTTCTAAATATACGTTACTTGCACAAAAAACATATCAGGATGCTGCATTTTCTCTGTTTCTTACTGTATAACACAGGTGTTACTCAATCAACCAACCTGAGGACCAAAGCATCATTTCTTCCTTTGCCATAGTGCATGAAGATATGTGTTCTACCTTATTATCAACAATACTGAATGATGTGAATCACATTCCAAAGTGTTCAAAAGCAAGTGAGTGTTAAATGTTATTTGCCACCATCACACATCAAGAGGCTTACTAATCTGTCCTGTCAGTATTTACAAACTGCGCTGAGATGCACCACTTCAGTAATTTTCCACTGCTGCTGAGATGGTATCACATTTGAGAATGATAAATTGCTGACTGACCATTATAAACACCCCTTGAAAAGGAAGCTTCATATTAGGAACAATAGAGTATATTCTGTGTCTGTCTGATTCTGTGGTTTAGATTTCATAAACATTCATGCATTCTTGAACCCTGTTAAATGATGAGGATCTCCTGGTTTAATGCCAGCGACAGAAATGAACAGGATTTCTATTTCAAACCCCGAATGCTCCGCAGTGACATTCATTAACATGTTTTGAATTCCCAAAATCCTTTCTATAGCCAATGTTGCCATGCAGCAGACGTGTTTTCATGACAATAGCAACAAATTAAATGAATACCTATGACTCCAAGATGTTTTCCTTCAAAGACTAACCACCCATCACTAAAAATAAATGTAATTTGAGTACGTAACACTGGATACATTTGGCCTTATCACACATGGAGCTGGCTTGCAGAGAGAACTGCCCAAACGGAACTATGGGGGCACTCTCTGTCAAAATATGTATTTTTAATGACAGCTCATTTAATTTAATAACCAATTCTTTATTTTTTACTGATACTGAGAAATTAGTAAATGCTTTTATTTCCTCAAGGATAGACTATTGCAATGCCTAATTAGCTGGTTCATCCAAGAAATTACTTGACCTCTGGGTCGTGTTTCACTGCTGATTGTGGATACGTACTGTATTACGTCTTTTACCATATGCAGAAGTGTACCCTACGCTTTCACTTCATCATTGATTTTTCATTGTTTTTATTACTATTTTATACAAATCAGATTATTTTCTCAGCTTTGTGATTTTCCCATTGTTTTCTGGCTGATCTATGAAGATCTGGGCTTACTTACCTTCTTATTTAAAGCAATGCGCTCTGCTGACTCTCTCATGGCCACTTTCCTGGACTTCTTCTCAAACCTCTCAACCTCCATTGTGTCTGTTTGGCTGGTGGCCATGAGACTGACTCCTTGTCCAGTGGAAAAGACGTTTTTCCCGCCCAGGTATCCCGCTGTCTCCTTCAGCTCTGCCTCCTCTATGTCAGTCGTTCCATAGGCAAACTTCTCTCCACTGGAGAGAAAGACAGGTCATTAACAGGGCTGCTGTAGAACACTGGGATAGCACGTCAACAGACAAGGCAACCCCAAAGTCGCATAATCAGCTTTATGGAATGATTGCAATGCCCAACTCTGCATAAAGATTCACCGGGATCTTTTTAGAAACAATGATACACTAAACATTGATACACAATAATACACTAACAGTGGAATGATACACTAAATTAAGTGTAGACAACCTAGGTGAACCAAATGACTGCTATTTGCCATAGCATCTATTACACACTGAGCTAATAATAACCTTTCGAAAGTTCTATTAGGTTTTCTATTAACAAGAATCAAAAGCGTATTGTATCTAAAGGCACAAAATCCAAAAAGAAGAAAACCTGTAGAAATATCTTTGGATTATCTGAATGTATCATACAAACAGAAGCATTCATTTAACATAAAAGGAGGACAGACACTGAATGTTCCCTTAACTGTTCATCTGTTACACTCTCCATGATGTATTCAAACTAGTTCATATACAGTTTTAAAAGCTGATTTTATACGTACAGTTGCAGCAATTTTTAATGGAGTGTTAGATGAAAATGTTGAAAACTCAGGCTATTGTGTGATATACTTTGTTGTGCGGACAAATAAAACATGGACTGGCATTTTGATGTACATGCAAAATAAAATAAAAAAACTGAAATGGCATGACACTGAAACTATGGCAATACAACTCTACTGCTGGAAATCTAACAAACAACAAAATATAACAGTGACATTACTTGAAGATAATATTGACATTATTATGACTTAAGTATTGTCAAGATAAAAGCAATGAATAACTGTTTTATGTATTGAAAATAACAGAGCCCTTCAAGAATGACTTATGAAACAAAAGAAAAAAAGCTCTGACTGAGTCAGATGCTCACACTGATGATTGATAAAGCTATTCAGTGCAGATTACTAGTCAGGGATACGGATTTCTAACCAAGATTCAAGTCCTTACTGCAGACCCTGACGCTGGGTCCTTAAGCAAGGTAAATCACCCAGACTGCTCCTTTGCTCCTGGCCACCAAACTGTACACATGGGTGCGAAAAACCCTGCGATACATCAGTGTCCCACTCCAGGGGCAATTGTACTTTCCATCCCCTTATTACTCTTATAACTAGGACAAGCTTTGATCTGATGAGCTACTGGACTCATGTACTGAATTCCCTTTATTTACAGTACAAGGACTCAAAAAAATGACAACGTTGCCTGGAAGAAGCCTTGTGTTTCTGTGCAGTAATTTGCTCATTACTGTACACACCGGCCTCTGAACAGTGGCACCACATAACCGATGACTTCGTTGTCTTTGTCCACGGCCAGGTAGGTTGGCTTGGCTCTCTTGGGCAGTGGGCTGAGTTTGCTCTCCTCGCTTGAGTACTTGGAAGCTCTCAATCTGCAGGAACAAGACCAACACAAACGTGACTCAGAACATACTTTCTCAATAGCCCCTGTCATATGGTTTGTCTCAAAATTCCACTGAGAAGACCAGGTTAATGAACGATGAGCATCCTTAATTACAGGGCGAAAAAGATGCAGCTCACTGGAATGGCATAAATCCTATAGCAGAGATTTAACATGTTAAACATTGGTGTCTCAGAAATAAACAGTTAAACCTAATAAACTCTTGCACAATGCTGTAAGTTTATGAGACAACGTTTGGCTGTTAAAAACTGATGTTTTGTTTTTTCAATGTAGCGACAAGGCCTATTATTTCACTAAGAATTAAGTGTTATTAAAGACTTCTAATAATCTTGTGGGCCTTGACCTGGTGCTATCTGTGGATGGCACAGGAATGTGGCTAAAGAGAATAATATATAGTGCAGGTGGGCTCCAGGCTGATTTCTTCCCAAAACCACAGGTCAAAGGACACTATCCATCACCCAAAGGAATATACAGTACACCAGGTGAGGTTCTGTAGGGTGAGTACATGGACCGAACCTGATGGCATCTCAGCCAATTGCCAGCCTGTGATTTTGCCCTATCTAAACTGGAATACATTTCATTCTCGCCGGTTAACGACTGATAAATATACTTCACTTATACGAGACTGATAAAACCTAGGAACTAGACTGTAACACATTATAGTTGTTGCGTATTTTCACTCTGAAGTTATTAACCCTGTTCTTCAGAATCCCAGAGAGAACGATCAGCATTCGTGTTCACAGAAGATCATTTCACAGATAGGTATTCCATTTGTTGCTTGTTATGCATGTTTTGGTTCTATCAATAAACTGTATATTGTACATTTAGAATCCATGTGTGAGACTGTAAATTATTATGTTTGAGTGCTTCCGAAAAGTAATCACATAATCTTACAATTTACTGTTACAAATTCTGATTGTTACAGCAAATGAAAACCCCAATTAACAAAAAAGAATTACACCGATTAGTGATAATACACCTAATGATGCAGCTAATGGCCAATTAAAGTGTACTAAAGCAGCCAAAGATGAAGCGAAGTGTCCCAGAGATGATAACTGGAAACATTTTAAAGATGAGAAGGAAATGGCAAATGTATTACATTAACATTACACTCCAGTGTTAAATACCCAACAGGCTAGTTGAGCCAAATGTCTCACCTTCCTTTCTTCCATTAAGGAAGCATTCTTTCCTTAATGTTTTAAGGAAGAAACTGACAATATGCTTCAGGCTAAGGAAAGACAAGGTTCCACATTTAACTGAACTAGTACAGAAGATGCATGTATGCAGGCGTTAAACACTATAGCAAGACTTCTTCAACATTCACTCAAAACAGGAGTAATATGATCTATCCATCCATTTTCTAACTGGTATAATAACAATGCATTTTATTTTACGTAATGCCTTTAAAAGCATTTTCTTTTAAAAGTGCTTTACAGGAAAAGTAAAAAAAAGCATTTAAAACAAAGAAACCTTTAACAAAGATTGGAGATAAAACCTAAATTTGAACAAATAAACCCAAGGGATTAGAAATGCAGTAGCAGATGCAATGAGTAAAAATATAGTATTATCTATATTGTAATATAATATAATATTATTATTACCAATTATATTAAAGCCTTTCTGAAGAAGGTAGTTCTAAGTCTGGATTTTAACGCACTCAGGGTAGATGGCTGATATCCTTGGGGATAGAATTCCAAAGCTTTGGGCAAGTACAAGAAAATGCCCTGTCACCCATAGAATGAATGAACTTGGGGGACAAACTGGAGACCAGAATCAGATGAATGAAGGATGCAAGGTGGGAAACAGGAAGATAATAAATCAGATAAGTAAGGTGCCAAACCATGTAGAGCCTTCCAGGTGAGCATGATTTTACAGCCGACACAAAACCTCACAGGAAGCCAGTGCAAGGATTCTGGGACAGGAATATTGTCCTGCAACCACTTGGTCTAATACAGGGTCGTGGGTGGCTGACGCTTATCCTGGCAAGCAACAGTCCCAAGGCAGGAAATGACCTGGACAGGACACCAGTGCAACATAGAACAGACTGACACAAACACACACATTCACACCAGGTCGCATTTTCCCAGAAGCCATTGAACCTATAACCATGTCTCCAGAGTGTGGGAATAAACCAGAGCACCCAGGGGAAACCGACACAAACATGAAGAGAACATACAAACTCCACACAGATAGCATCCCAGGAATTAAACCCAGGGCCCCAGCACTGCGAGGTAGCAATGCTAACTACTGTGCCACTGTGCTCTCCCTAATACCCAATTTAATTGACTAGAAAATTGCAACTCTAGCTCCCATGCTCAGACAGGATATCATAACCGAACCAAGTAATTATAGACCAATCAGTCTAATTTATGCTTCATGCATTACAGAAATGATAATTAGAACTCAACTAGAGGAAAAGCCACATGGCACATAGGATTTTAGGAGATATTTAAAATGAATTTAGGAAAGGTGAGTCTGTCAAAAACAAATGATATATGACATAAAACTGTGCTGAGGCCCTGTGTTCAATTCTGGACCTTGGGTGCTATCTGCATGAAGTTTGTATGTTCTCCCTGTGTTCGTGTGGGTTCGTTGCTGGGTGATCTAGTATTCTCCCATAGTCCTAGGTCTACTGGTAGGTTAATTGGCTTCTGGGAAAATTGGCTCTGGTGTGAGTGTGTGTGTTTGTGTCTGTGTGTGCCCTGTGAATAACTGGCTTCCAATCCAGGGCATGTGTCACGTTTATAAACCCCTCTTCTTAAGGACGCTCCAGCCATTCCCTGTTCTTTACTCATCTCCCACACCTGCTCCCTGTTCCAGCCCCATTTTCAATTCCTCTTAAAAGCCAGACGCTCACTCTGTTCTGGGCTCTGCATTGGTTTCCGTACCAGGCGAGTCCCGGACCTGGAAGCGCCTGGTCCCGTCAAGCTTTTAAGTTCCTGTTCCTGCCAGTTCTGGCCCGGTTCCCATTTTTATTCTGTTCGTCTTGGATGGACCATCCAGTTTTTGATTTTCGCCTTCTCTTGGATTCCCCCTTGGACTTATTCCTGGATTATTTGCCTCGGCCACACCTCCCCCAAACACCAGCGCACCATGGACACGCCCCCTGTATTCATTCCTGACTCCTGCATGCTTTTTTCCCTGTGTTTTCCTCACCCATCCCCGGATTGTGTCGCCTGCATAGGGTCCGGAAAGAACGCTTTCGTTACAGCATGCCCTTTGATTGTCCTGAACTGGATGAAGTGGTTAAAAAATGGATGGATGAAAGGAGTACTACAGGGATCTGTGTTACAACCACTGCTCTGTCTAAATTCTACACATAATGTAGGGAATGAAATAGTCAACTAGTCCTGTTCTCAGATGATTTCCAAAACAAGAGGATTAAAAAGCACTCTAGAAGCAGCTAACAAAATTCTAAATGACTCAGACAAATAGGAAACTAGACAAACACCTGAAATGATTTTGAATAGAGATAAGTGCAGAGTGTTACATGTAGGTAAATAATAAACTACAAACACTGTGCACTGAGCTTCCTATAAAAAGGATTATATGTCTATGTTACATATTTTCATATAAGTAGTTTAATATCCCTTGATTTAACTTTAAATCACAGGACAGTGAGGTACTGAGAACTGGCTTTAAGACAAAAGTAACGTATTGGGCAGACACACCATATCTAACTAAAGTATAGGCATCCAGAAGGAGTAAGATTCCCGATGAAGGGAGAGGAGCAGTTAGGCTCTGTATAGAATTGGCCACTTCCCTCGTGTATAAGATCAGCTCTAGCATAAGAGGAAGGAGAGTAAGAGCTCTGGGAGGAATTCTTAGTACCAACAGGTTTAGCTGGGTTTGTGGGACTCGGGGAGCAAGTGACACTTGAACAATATAGCTGAGGCTATTCTGAGGGTCATCACGAGTATCAATCTCCGGCCCACTTAATACTTGCAGTATATCTACAAATTAAGTTCTCAATGATTAACAGCAAGGTAGAATTCTTCACTGAGTGAGAGATCTCAAGATGCTTTACACAGGTCTATAGTTTCACCAGTTTTAATTGCACCTTGAGATGGAATACAAAATAAAATCAGCATACTTTAGGAACAATCATCAATCAAAACCCGGCCCTTTGTCACAAATAAAGCACGAGACATGGACTCATAAATCAAACGAGAAAAAGATAAATCAAGGGAATAAAGTGCATTGTGCTTTATTTATCCTGACAATGACTCCAAAGTTTTAAAATTAGGAGGTACCACCAGGAAGAAAAAGCATTGTGGGATACACGAGGAATCTCTATGGAAATTCAAAACATATTTAATTTTATATTTGAGGCCAGCCCTCAGTGAGACACAAAGAATGCTTTCTCCTGTGGAGATACCACAATTTTATGCTCCAATGGTTAAGTAGTTACAATAATTAAAGCTCCTTCAAATCAAAGTGATAACGCGTGTTTAACTGCATGGCAGATCCTTTGTTATTATTAGAGATTTTTTCCTTTACTCTTGAAAGCAGAAAGGGATGTTGACTTCATTTTAATCTTTAGTGTATAAATGTAGACTCTGGACCAGGGTCACAGAATCCTGATCTCAGACTCCAGTGTTTCTGCAGCTTTTGTTAGGTGCGTTTAAACTAGCAGCACCTAAAGAGGTACTAACTGGCCCACTTATACTGATAATAAGATTATTCAAATCCCAGATGGACTGAAAGCTTGCAGATACACTGACCTCCCAGGATCAGAATTGGCAACCCTGCTCTAGGGGATTAGACAGTTCCATAAGTGCCATTTTCTGCATTTCATCTTGTTCACGATCTTCCAAACCTTGAGTTTTTTTATTAACATCGAAGCGGTATAACACCAAGCTAACACCGCATAACTTTTAATTTCCTGGTAACAATTGTAATACTGCAAAAATAACTTTTCTGTGGGGCACCGAATTAGTGGCTTTAGTGAATTTAGTAAAAAACAGAAGA